TCGATAAGCAAGTGTAATGCTTCTATATTGAATAAATATATTTGAATTTGATCAAACGTGCCAAGCTCCAATCGAAATTACCAGCTCGTTCTGATGTCAAACAAAAACCGAACTTCGACCACTTGTCAATATGGTATTAAATCGATCACTGACCGCCAGCATAGGAGCTTCCGCCACAGAAGCGGCATTCGTCGATAACGGTGCGACGGCTTATCCCTTCCGGTGACGCTCCGTTGTAGTTATCATATCACGCGTACAACAAACAAGCTTATACCGCGGTTTTGCCACCGTCGTTTCATTCGCAAAACGCTGCATCGTCTCTCTTCTATATCGACATAAGGAAACTAATTTGCCGTGATTGAGAATTTTGAATACTAATTAAATAATTTTGAACAAAAAAAACCAATTTCAAACAGGAAACTAAAAGCATTGTCAACACCTATAACATTTGAGGATTGCCCTCGATTTCTCTGGGATGTCATCATCAGATCTGGGTTTCCTTATCATGGTACCACCCTTGGGATATCTCCTTTCCAACAAAAAGGAATCATCAAAATCTGTTCATAAATTAACGAAATTATCCCCGAACACACATAAAAAAATATATACAGCGTGTCGTTACCATCGCGAAAATAAATGAACACACATATAGGGGATAACTTTTTAAAGTTGTATTAAACATTTAAATTCTTTAAACATCAATATTTACAGAGTTATTAAATTTTCCAAAACAAAGAATTTTAGAACACCCTCACCTATAAAAGCGTAACGTAAAGTTCATTTGTAAATGTCACAAAGCATATGAATGGGTTGAATGAATTTAAAAGAGACAAAACATACTGTTAGAAGGAGAGGCTTGTAATACGACGCTGAGGCGCGAGTTGTATAGGATGTTACAAATTTTGTTTCTTTTATACTTAATTAGTTTGTTTGAAAAATATTTTTTTTTAATTATGGATTTTTTTAACGTTAATATTTTTTTATGATTATTGACACGTAGCTCTAGACGTGTGTTCATTTATTGTCGCGATGGTAACGACACGCTGTATATACGGTCGAATTGAGAAACTTCCTTTTATGAAGTCGGTTAAAAAATAGCTTCAAATCTGTAGGTCGATGGAGCTAGAATAAAAAAACGACCCCACCTAGGTGGGATAAGGGCAGGAAGATGATGACCTGTTTATTACCATCTTTTTTGGGGATAAAAACATATAACTTATCAGTTCTTCTTACTTCTTACGCCGATGTATAAAAATGATATTTTGTTAGCAAATAAAAAAAATAGTGTAAGGACGTTTTACAAACATTTTCACGTGGAAAAACACCCAGATGCAAAACAACTATCCTATCTATAGGTCAAGCAAATAGTTGTGCCGTGTGGGATTCGAACCCACGAGCCCCGACGCCGAAGCCAATACTTTGGGGCAACTGCGCCACAGAGTCATCTTCAAGCAAGGAGTATTTTTTTTTCTTTTTTATGTGAAAAGTTGCCAAGTCACCTGATGATAAGTGAATACCGCCGCCCATGGACATCTGCTACACCCGAGGGTTCCAGATGCGTTTACAAACTTTTGAAAGTTGTGCTCCGGATACTTCATTCGCTAGACGAAACGCGAAACTATTATACTTCCACTTGACGGTGGTCGTGGTACTTACCCGGACGAGCACGCCCATTCGTGCAACAGCCGAGGCTGCTGCATGGCTTACCATTTGGTGACCCGCTTGCGCGATTGCCTCTTTTTTGGATTTAAAAAAAATATACAGCGTGTCGTTACAAGCGCGACAATAAATGAACACACGTCTAACGCTACTTGTCAATAATCATAAAAAAATACTTAATTAAAAAAAAATCGTAATTTAAAAATAATAATTTTCAAACAAACTAGGTAATTAAATAAAAATTTGTAACATCCTATACAGATACAACTGACTGATTCATACATTCAGAGACTTTTTCATTCGTTGCCACAGCGGCGCATTACAAGCCTCTCCTTCTAACAGTATGTTTTGTCTCTTTTAAATTTATTCAACCCATTCATATGCTTTGTGACCTTTACAAATGAACTTTAGGTTACAGTTTTATACGTATGGGTGTTCTGAAAATGTTTGTTTTGTAAAATTTATTAACTCTGTAAATATTGATGTTTAATGAATGTAAATGTTTAATACAATTTTAAAAAGTTATCCCCTATATGTGTGTTCATTTATTGTCTTGGTTGTAACGACACGCTGTATATTCTTGCCCGGACGATCATGCCCATTCAGTGCAACAACAGAAGCAGAGTGGCCACTATTAATATGATCTAGCTAATTATAATTATGTTCGCCGTTCGGCCTATAAGTAAGGGAGATCCCACGCCAACAATAAAATGAATCGCCAGATTGATAACGCGTTATCGTAATTAACATAACGTCTGTAATCAGAGCGTGGAATGACCTCGTGGTAGGTAACGTGGTAGGTGGTAGATGACCACACGTTTTGTACGATTATTGTAATATTTTGTATATACGTCATAACCTTAAAGAATAGTGACACATAAAATAAACACTAGAAATAAGGATAAACTTACTAGGCTATTGTTTCGTCTACAAAAAGTAAATAGGTCGTTCATGGGATTACTTTTATAAATAGGTAAATACATATTGTAGATATAAACACATAGGCACTAGAAAAACACTATGTTCATCACACAATATTTTTCCAGTTATGGGAATCGAGCCCACACTGGGCCCACACACATTCATCAAGTAGCCAAGCTTATAGTCAAATAATTGTATCAAACCGTTAAAATTAAAGCCGGAGTTTGGAGCCTTCAGTGTACTTTTCGCGCGACGATTTTGTAAACACAATAAACGCTTTCATCAACATATAGCTGTTATAAATTCCGGTGTCTGAAGGTCATTGCACTTTCCATGGCTGCGTGATAAGAAAGATCGTAGCCTTGTTGGATCTTTTTTTAGATGCGTTAAAAGCCCCCCTGTTCACTTTGCTCGGGTTGAAATATACTCTTAACTTTTGAAATCAATAACACTGCGGGCCCCACTCAGGAAATCCAATTAGCTTTCAAAGTTAGTCGCCATTAAAAGCGCTTGTTTCGCAAATGTAGTTTAAGTCTTTTTAATATATATTTGGAGTTTATGCATACTATTGTATAGACCTGTATATGCAAAATTTATTTTACCAAGTACTGTAGTTACTGTTTTCTTCGTGTATATAATTATTTTATAATTTATAATTTCCTTGTGTATAAATAAATAAAATAATTCGAAAGGCTTTAAGGGTGAACTTCACATGTTGTGTATTTTAATGCTTTCTAATTGGTTATTGAATTTTCTGAGACTATTTCTCAATTGATAAACCCATTAGTGAGCTTTACATAAAATTAAATACAGCCGTATTAGCCGAGTTCGATCCCCGGTGTCCTCACCAACGAAATTGTTAATTTTAAGTGCTGAATTATCACGTGCTCAGCGGTGAAGGAAAACATCATGAGGAAACCTGTATATTAAATATTGTAAAGTTTTCAATCATAAAAAGTTGTCAAGCGAGCAGGTGGTTTACCGCCTCCCATGGACATCTCAACACCTGAGGGTTTATAGATGCGTTGATAATCTTTTGAAAAGTGTGCCCCGGTTACCTTGCCCTACACGCCGGTCTTCTGCGTGGCCGTGGTACTTCTTCGGACGGACCTGCCCATTTCTGCAACAGTAGAAGCTGTTGCGCCATCGGTTTGCGTCATCCTTACCCAGTATACCGTCATCTGGTCGATAAACGTTCGCCGACAGCGATCTTCGCCGTCTATCCATTAACTATGTATATAAAAATTAACGATTTTTCGTATGTTCCGTATGCGTTTATCGCCATTCATCCAATTATGATTTTAGTTAGTTGCACGCCTAGTCGCGAAGGTAGTGGTAGAAGTTGGCTTAACACGTTGCGAAAACATTTTATGGCAATGCAAAGCGCTGCGGACGAAGGTTTGTGGCCAATAAAGTTGAGTTATTGTTCTATTCGTTAACGACCGGTACTGAAACACTGATCATCATAGAAATTAACTGATCAGCTGTCATTTGGCTTCTCAAGTGTTATTTAACTTTCCAAAAGGATGGTTAAACTCTTTAGATTGATCAGATCGATCAGAATGATTAGCTACGCGTTAGTCTTTAAAGTCGCTCGTTAACCGTGGTCGCGTTTAGACGCTTCGTTGTTTTTTTTATTAATAAAGGTTTTAAGGTTCCCTTGGTGACTACGAGTAAGTGATTACTGCTTTTATATTCACGAGACCAGTGAGGTTGCTGGTATGTTGCCGACTGTAAAGCGTTTTTAGAGGATAGATTTCAGTCGGTCTTGTCCTAGGACGAAGTACAAACATTCACCCATCAATAGATTAAATTCCAAGTAGTAGAGCCCCGGAAGAAGAGAATTAGAAGTCTCTTTTTTATCCTTTGGTTATGTCTGATTTGCTCCGACTCCAAATCACTTCCCTTTCGCGTCGAACTCTTGTCCATTTTCTCGACCTTGAAACCTAGAGTCCGAATGAAGAGGGGTCCGAAGGAAGGCCTGTGGTAATATTTTCGTTTTAATGGACCTGCCTTCATTCACACTCACTCGTGTGAGTAGCAATACAGTAGCTAATTAATTGGATTTGTTAAATCGCTCAGTTGTTTAGATTTAGTAATAGTTTTCTAACGCCTGGTTTCTGAAACACTGATCATCGTAGTAGTCAACTAATCAGCTGTCAAATGGCTTTTCAAATGTTATTTAATTTGCGAAAAGGATGGTTAAACCCTTTGAATTGATCATTCTGATCATTAAAAAAAAACATTCTGATCATTAAGAAATTCAGAGAGTTTAACCATACTTTGGGCAGCTTAAATAACTAAGAGTTGTAGGTTTATCTTTAAAGTTATTTGAACTTCACTATCGCATTATGTACTGCCTGTAATGATATTTGTTAGTTGATATGTAAAATGAAATGTAATTTACAGAGCTTCGAGCCATGGCCTCGGTGTGGAAGCGACTGCAGCGCGTCAACAAGCGCGCCGCCAAGTTCCAGTACACCGCATCCTACCACCGGATAGACATAGAGACCACGCCCAAATGGTAAGCTGCGCTTTCCCCATAGACGGTGGCGACGGTGCGAACTGTCTATTCAGTGGCGGATTTGCCCTAAGGCCCAGTAGGCTCGGCCCTGGGGCGGCCACATATTAGGGGCCAATCGTGACAAAAAATTCACTGATGATAACAAGACATACGATGGGCGCTGAGAAAGGGGCGGCAGGAATTTATTACATGGGCTGGGGCCTAGGGCGGCCAAGACTACAAATCCGCCACTGTGTCTATGGTGTCTACGAAACCTGTAGGGTTGCAAGGTTGAATATCGGTTTTCTTTATGCTTGCGTGGGGGCAATGCCTACGTTTACCAGCCCTCGCGATAAGGACGGTCTACGTCGGATTCGCACCGACTAAAACCCTTGGCGCCGCAGCTATTCAGGCGTCAGTCATTGAGGCGACCCAGACGATGAATAAAACAAAAGGAGCACTGAATTTGAGGATGGAGTGTTAAGTTTGATGTTTGAATGCGTGGGAACCAAATCATGTACTCCGTGAGCACACATTAAAATGCAACCTATAGAGTACCGAGAGTAGAAATATAACGGAGATCTAAAAGTATTAATATCCTGGTTAAGTATGAATTGGACTACGATATGTAAGTAAGTACACAGTACTACAGATTCACCCTCCTTTCGCCTCGGACAGTACTCATTAGAATTGAACCCGGGTCGTCTCTATTGTCTAAGAGCAGCCAGACGCGTTCGCTTTACTCCTTTTTTATAAACGCCCAGACGTCTGAGGGGATTATGTGCAAGGGGCCGTAGTGTCGTCGCTTAAATGGGTACGATATCTAATGTTATACTTTTTTTCAATTGCGTTTAGTTTATTAAACTTCTAACGTTTCTAATGTTCAGCAGCGTTCATATGGAAACAGTGAGGCGGGGCTTCATTACTCTGTTTTTAACTACGGACAGTTTTTAAAAGTAGCTTATTCTCTGTTTACGTTGAACAGGTAATAATAGATCGTTCTAGATTTCGTTTTGAATCGTCTCATATCTAATATCTAATAACTGACATTTTTAATAGCATAACAATTATCGAACACAGACAGTTATCTCACAGTACCAATGTTCTGGTTTTTACATTTTGTTCTCAATTCAATCGCGGTAAAGTTAGACTTAATAAAGAGTCATTTAACTTAAGCGGGTTAAATCGAAGGCCATTTTGGCGCAATTTCCCAACTGAATCGATTTTTTTTTTAATTAAAAAATTAGACCACGGAAGTGAGCTCCGTGCACTTATATTGAGTACACTTTATTACACAAGTAACATTTGTATTGTATAGCGGAGGCAATTGACTTTCAATTCATACGATTTTGCCTTTCATGTTGTAACGTTTTTATGGAATGGTATTGTTAATGATGGGAGATTTAATAAAAGATATATTAGTGGTTAAGAATTTGTATTCATCCCTTCAGTATAATGTTACAATCCCTGGACTAGCTCAGATACAATATATTTAAAAAATATAAAAATAATAATGAGTTGGGCGCCTTGTCTGTTAAGCACAGACTGTTGTAATAATTACAATTAAGTATCTCAGGGAGTCGTGAGTACATAGGACCTACACATTACTTTGTGCGACCATAAAATGTTAAATAATTAAATTAATTTGAGATTATGAAAGTTATGCAATTCAATTCAAAAAAAAAAGTCTAATCAGGTAGTTATTTTAAATCTATGTCACCGCAGACACAAGCCCTGTGTGCACAGGTCAGCGTTGAGCTCAGAACCAGTAGAAAAGTCAGGCCAAGTGTAGTGTGTACAGCCACACTGTTGGGGGGTATGTAGAAGACCTCCAACTGGAGGTAAAAAACAATATTTAATTGAGCAGCAGCTCAGACCAGCTAGCCAGCCACCTATGCCTTCAGCATCCACCACGAGGGATAACAAATCCAGCAAAGAGTTTCCCAGATAGCAATCACAATTAAAACGACCAGGAACGTGTTCTGATTTCAACCTCTAGCCATGCACAGTCGAAGATAGTGGATCCACAAAAATTAACTTATCCAATGTCAATTCGAACCGGCGGCAATCTCAAATGACAAGTACGAACAAATGCAGTTAACTTTTACATTCTTCCTTTCGAACAGGCAAAGGTTCATATGACATGCAGCCTAGTCTTTAGAAAAACGACAATTTAGACAAAGTGATGAAATCACACGTTACAATGTTCTGTTTTTAATCGACTTCAAAACAGAGAGGCTCTCGGTATGTCGGAACATGCCTTTCGTGTACAATAAGTATCGGGAATTAAAAAACATAGCTGTTGTTTAAATAAAGGTGACGCGTTTGCGTACTGCCATACATTGCCATGAATATGACTTATATAAATAACTAGCTGCTGCCCGCGACTACGTCTGCGTAGAGGGGCGAAAATTTAGGGTTGTACGTATTTTTGTATGCTGTATCATAAAAAAATAGAAATTAAAAATTTTGTCTAAAAAATAAAAAAAAAATTTAGGGGTGGACTACCCCTAACATTTAGGGGGATGAAAAATAGATGTTGGCCGATTCTCATAGATACCAGATAAGCACAAAAAATTTCATCAAAATCGGTCAAGCCGTTTCGGAGGAGTATGGCAACGAAAACTGTGACACGAGAATTTTATATATTAGATAATAATAATAAAAATATGTATGGACACATTTAGCGTTTGGTGCGTAAGCAAATTGTGACGCATGTAACATGTATAGCGCGTGGTCAAATTTACGCATATAAATTGCGCAGCGCAGTTATAATTTATTCAATTACTCGAAGACGAACACTATTCGAAGGCACTCTCGGAGACACCCTCGGACATGGAGGAAACTCGGTGGTCATCTTCAGCTCTTCGGGCCCTCGTCAGACATTGGTGGAAACTATGACGTCACTCGCGGAGTCGCGTTAAAGTCGCAATATACGAGCTACCGATGTAAAAGTGTTTTATTATTACCCTCCAGATACCCAGAGTCGTAATTGGGGTACCTACGCAATAACACTGACAGATATACATAACTCGTAAGTGTTATAGGTTAGTAAACATGACAGATGATATAGAACAACTATACAGGTACATACTTCGTGTTTGGATATAATATCAATGTAACTTAAATGCATTTGTACTGCATTTATACTTTTTTATTACCTTTTAATTCGTCAATTAGTTTTCTCCGTACATATGGTAGAACAAGTTTTATATCTGTTTGTGTAACTTAGGATATTTACTTGTTATTTTATAGAAGTAAAAATGAAATATGCGTTAAATCTTTTCCTCTCCCATGGAATAATTTGTTAGTTGACTCGGTGCAATGACGTTTTAATAAAGATGACGCATGTCCACACTGCGCGGTGTTTAAAAATTGTGTATATAAGTGAATGTGACATATGATATAGAAAGTATGATAAGGAAAGAGATAGCAATAGAATTGCAATCTTATTACACGAATTGTTATTGACTTTAGTTATTGAGTGCCTCTTTTTCTGTGTGCTAGTGTCATATCTACCTTGGTTTTGCATACAGGGTGATTTTATAGACGACGGATATTAACAGAGCATAATTCTGGTACGTACTTGTGACCTCATTTTTTTTTCAAAGATTATTTTAATTCTTTCAAAAAATATGGACAACCTATTAGAAATTCCTGTCTTTCCGTCTCAATACAATGTGTCTATGTGAATGAATATATTTTTGATTTTGATTTTGAAAAATAAAATATTAATATTTTTTTGAATTATGGAATGCTCAATTAACATTATGTCAAAGTAAGTACTTCGTTTAAAAAATCACCCTGTATAATAAACATGTATTCGTGGCAGCAAATTAGTTTCCTTACATCCATTATGTACTACAAAGACTAATTGATTGACAAGTCATAAAATGTAATTAAATCGTGAACGCTTTGTCGATGGAGTAATGCGCACCACGTTAATTTGATATTGCACGCCATTGGACTATTAAAATACGGAATATAAATTGAAATTGGAGGATAAAGTCGGGCAACGGTCACTAAAAACTGTTGATGCAATTTTTTTTATTAGTTGTCAGCCAGTATGCCCTGGCTTAGTATGCGCTTACCAACTGCACACTACGTCAAAAAATCGATATTTTTTATTTGAAATGGTAGCAAACGAGCTGGTGGTTCACCTGATGTTAAGTGATAATCGCCGCCCATTGACATTTGCAACACCCATAGGGTTGCAGATGCGTTGCTACCTTTTAATTCAATGGGCTCCGGCTACATCACCAGACGAAACGCAGAAGTATAATACTTACTTCCACAGCGAGGACTTGGGTTGCATGGTCCTACCACAGTCAATCAATTGACCGTGTAGGAATTTTGAATTTGTATTTGTAATTGTATTTTGTATGGAAGAGATTGGGTAGTAAATCCCATCGACCACTGCGACCTAGGTTGGTAGAAAAATGTTGGTGCTTACTGGAGGATAACATTATCCTGTGTTGTAAGGATGTTTTACATACATAAATTTCAAAAAAAACACCCAGAAAAACACCCAGATCCGAAACAATTATCTGTGGGTTACGTAAATAGTTGCCTCGTGTGAGAATCGAACCTACTACCCACGGCGCCGTAGCCAATATCTTGGCAAGTACGCTACGGAGCCATCAATAAACAAAAATTCGCTAAAACACATGTGTTAGGAATTGAATACACCATTAACAATTCATTCCATCCTCTCCTGCCCTTATCCTAGCTAAGGTGGGCACAAAATGTCTAATTCTTTTCAATTCCGTTATTGTATTGGCGAGGTTTTTTTAGGGAATTAACAATTCGAAGTCAAAGTCAAAATACCTTTATTCAATATAGTCTTAACTTAAGCTCTTATTGAACGTTAAAAAATTGTCGCGCTTCGTGGCGGTCTGCCGGGGAGGCTTTCGTTCATCATTTATGATCATCAGTGTTGATGATGATGATGATGATTTTTGTCGCAGGAAGCCGAACAAGCTGAGCATCGTGTGGACGAGGCGGTCACGGCGCGTGGTCACCGAGCCCCTGGAATGGGAGCCATCGCTGAAGGACCCTCTCAAGTGAGTCCGCTTCTCAATCACGCTGTGGATATTTGCACCTGTATGAGTGCACGTATGCTTGTATGTCTGTATGACTGTTTATACATGTGTTAATTATCGAAAAATACAGCTTTTGATATACGAACTGATCGGTGTAGTGGATAGTAAACCTACTTCTTGTGCCAGGGGTCGCTGGCTCGATCCCCACAGTTATAAGAAGATTTTATGATGAAGTTAGTATTTTCCTGAGGTGTATTTTATTATTTGTACAAAAGTTACTTTTAAGTAAGTTCACCAGTTGTATATTGTACGTACTAGTTTTTTTTTTGTTTCGGACTATAACGTTGTATAAGAATATTAGGCTTGCTTTTAACCACCGCCCATGAACATCGCAACCCCCGTAGGATTTCAGATGCGTTGTCATCAACTGCACTCAACAGAAGAGATTTAAAACTAATCATTTCACGCCGGTCTTCTGTGATAGGTATATAAAATTATAAAAGCAATTTAAATTACCATTCGTTCCTAAGGTCTACGCTAAACTAAAAGTTGACCGTCAATAAATACTGAATAAAACAATCTAAGCATAAATAATAGGAAAGAGGAAAACAAAATCGAACCGAATCACGAAAAATGAATATGGAGTAATTTCAGTGGCAATAGCATTATTTTACTGGTGCAATGTCGGCAACCTGTTTTTAATGTGAGGTGATCACATATATGATCATATATAATGTGTTCGCCTTCAGGGGTTCCGTTATATTCACCGTGCCCGAGAACCAAACGGTGACCGTCACGCTGTTCCGCGACCCGCGCACCAACGAGCTCGAGGACAAGGATTGGACCTTCGTGCTGGAGGACGTGAGTTGGGCCTTTTGTCTTCGCGTGTGCGGTTCCACCTTACGTTTACCGTAATACAGATATCCTGCCTTTGAAGAAGACAGAAGTAGTACCTTACGAACCCATATATAATTTTTTTATGTAAAATTCGACGATTCCTAAAAACGCGCAAGCGTCTATTTGAATAAAGATATATTTGATTTGATTTGAAGTGGGAGTTTATTTAGAAAACTCTTTAAGATGAAATTCTGAAGGCATTTCTTTCAGGTTATTGCAGAAACCACTACTTATAAGTACAGTAACAGCCTATACATGTCCTACTGCTGGACAAAGGACTCCACTGGTCAGAGGGTATCGGAGCATAGTCCACCACGCGATCCCACTGCGGATTGGCGGATCTCACGTATCTTTGTAATATTTTTTTGTTATTACTAAAGGTCAAAGTGAAAAGAAGAAGATTAAATAGATGAAAACGAAAAGTGAAAAGCGTAAGCTGAGAAGGGATAAGAAGTGTAACTGAATTAACGCGTAACATTATAATGGCCTGTAACATAAGTCTATCAAGTAGACAGACAGAATTTCTGTTGAAAAAAATACGAAATGTTCTTCGCCGCTGTGAGAATTGATCCCATGTCTTCGGGATTCGCGCCCAGACGCTTGAACCACTAAGCTAAACAACCGATTGCTGAACCTTACCGACGCGAAGCAATGCTTCACATGCTAAAAAACCAGGTCTCCCTTCTGATCTCCTTCCGGCGCAGGTGTCGCCGACCGGCAAGCGGCGCCGCCTGGCCGCGTGCGCCCTGGACCTCCGGCGCCACGCGTCCCTGGCCGCAGCGCAGAGGACCCTCCGCCTGCAGCTGGAGCCCGCAGCGAGGCGGCTGCGCAGCGCGTCCCTGCACCTCACGCTGCACAGCGTTCTTCTGCGTGAAGGCCACGCCACGTGAGTCTCCGTCTTCTCCACCACTCTCAGCTCTCCTCTCTCCTCTTTGATATGTCAGAGATCGAGGAGCAGCATATGCCGCCATCCAGCTTTTTACATTTAATTCCGTGACAAGTTTTATGTTTGTTTTCGCACTTTTAAGTTTTTCATTTATGTGAGAAAGTGGAACGAGCTGGCGGTTCACCTGCCCATGGACATTTGCAACACCCGTAAGGTTACAGATGCGTTGCCACCTCTTAATAAAGTGGGCACCGGCTACCTCACTCGCCAGACGAAACGCAGAAGTGCAACACTTCCACTTCACACCGGTCTTCTGTGAGGTCGTGGTACTGACCCGGACGGACCTGCCCATTCCTGCAACAGCGAACATTGTTGCGTGGCTCTATCTCTGTAACACTTCTCCACCTATCTCAAGCTTTAAGGCCCATTTACATGGTGCCAGTTTCTTGCCTGTTGTATACAATTAATTGAAGCAATAAATGAGTTGCATGGTCTAAACAACAAATGGTCTAACCAATTATTGCGCGCAATTTATTGCATTCAATTATTGCTCTTGTATGTACAAGAAAATGGCATCGTGTAAATGGGCCTTTACTCTCATGATGTATCTATTTGCGAAAGGTTGTAAACCTATCTAAACTAACCGCATGAGCATTTGTGTTTTCCATACCGGTGACCTATTTTGGCAAGTTTATAAAAGTTTCTATGCAGAGTGATTTTATAGACGACGGACATATTAACGGGGCATATGTAAAATTTCATTCTAAATCTGAATCTGCTATGTAAGTACTTGTAACTTCAATTTTTTTTTTCTCAAAAATTATTTTTAATTTTTTCAAATATTATGGACACCATAAGAAATTATTGCCTCACCGTTTACGATACCTATTCACGAGCACTAAAACTTTTCGCTGAATGCATAATTACTAATTTATCATAGATAAACAAACAATGTTTGAATTGATATTTTTCTGGTTATTTCTTGTCAAAATAAAATATTAATATATTTTTTTTGAATTATGGAATGTTCAATTAACATTAAGTCACAGTTTGTCCTTCGACCAAAAAATCACCCTGTATAGACTAGTATGTGCATCCATTAATGGAGAGGCGTAAGTCTTCCGATAAACTCTAACCAAAAAACTTATGATAATAGTGATGGTTCCTTTTCAAATGAGTGTAGACTGCTCCTTTTCACAGGGACGAGGATATGCAGTCGCTGGCGTCGCTCCTGTCGGTGAACAACAACTCGGACATCGCCGTTCTGGAGGACCTGGACGAAGATGACTACACGCTCTCCGATAACTCAACGAGACAGGTGCGTTGATGTTGCCCTCATTGTGTCTCATTTCTCCCCCGGCTAAACGAGACCTGTTTGGTGTAGGCATAGCTTGCGACGAATTCAATTTGTGTAGCGGTTGCTACTTTTTAGACGGCGATTAGATTATTGATTTTTTTTTTATTATTTGGTACACAGAACATCAGACAGTGCAATAATCTTAACAATAAAGTGAATAAGGGCAATTTATACATGCTTCGATATTGAAAGAAAAGACTATTGAAAGGTAATTAAATATAAAAGTAAAAATAATAAGAAAAATATGACAGTTGACGTTGAAATATCAAAGACGCGTCACGTTTGGACATGGTTCGTTACACGAAAGAGAAGAAAGATACAACTTATGACTCCGTGGTGCAGTCGCCAAGGTATTTGCTTCGGCACGTGGGGTCGTGGGCTCGATTCCCACACGGGACAACTATTTGTGTCACCAACAGATAATAGTTTCGGATCTGGGTGTTTGTCCACGTGAAATTTATGTTTATAAAACGTCTTTACAAACTGGGGTAATGTAAATGTTATGGTAATGAAAAACGTAGACAGTAACAGAGGGAGAGCGGGAGGGAGTGATATATACAAGACGGGTGAAGTTGAATTTGGTTTAAATTGAATTTTATTAGCGTGTTAGTTGATGTAAGAAAATGTCAGTATCGTCAAAAAGCAAAATTTCTACGCGTATAATTTGTTGGCACCCGTTAGAACCACTGATACTATAAAAAAAATCATGCATTATCGAAACAGCCACACGTGTTAAAGGAATCGTCGCCCCCCACCTCCCACAGATGCTGGATCTCCGCCAGCAGATGGAGGAGATGACCCAGAGCCTGACGAACAGCGACGTGGCCGCCACGCCGAACAGCGTGCAGAGCCTCAACTTCGACAACTCGGCGACCCCCACCGCGCCCATCAGCCCCGACGGCGACGGCCCCCCCACGCCCACCAACCCCACCAACCCCACCATCCCCACCAACCCCACCAACCCGCCCGACCCCGCCACCGCAGAACCTGCCTCCCACCCTGAAGCATCCGTCACCACCAAAGCCAGGCAGGAGCCCTTCGGCCTGACGAAGGCGCCGATCAAGCCGGAACCACCCAAGTTCACCTCCACCCCGAACAAAGCGGACGCCTCCCTGGACGACGCCGAGGCCCTGAAGGTGATGCAGTTCAAACCGAAGACTTTCGCCAAGAAGAACCTGAAGCCGCTCGAGCTCAAGTCGAACCTGAACAGCGCCGCCCTGGACGGCCGTGACGAGGGGGAGGAAGGGGAGAGGACGCCCCTCGTGGAGCCGGAGCGGCCGCTCCCGGCGAAGGGGCTGGACAAGGACAGGACGCCGGTGAGTGAGCGTCGTTTGAAAGCTTCGTGAAACCACCCCCTTATTGTGCAAGTCAAACAATTAGTACTCCCCCCTAGCCACTCCGCCGAATCATAGACTTATTAGATATCTTTTAAGAATTTGGTATTTGTTCTTTCAAGTTTTAGCGACAATTAAGATTTCAATTTCTACAAACTATAATACGATGTATATATAATATTACCCCCTCTCTATTTGTCAGCAAAGTAATGAAATTAGATGACTCCGTGGCGCAGTCGCCAAGGTTTCGGCGTCGGGGGTCGTGGGTTCGATTCCCACACGGGACAACTATTTGTTTGACCCATAGATAGTTGTTCCGCATCTGGGTGTTTGTCCGCATGAAATTTATGTTTGTATAACGTCCTTACAATACAGGATAATGTTATCCTAAAGTAGGGGCTTCTTCCTCCTTCCAAATTTTTATATTATGTTTATTTCGTGCCAAGGAGTTATTTTTCATCGCAATCAGAATAGAAGTAGTAAATTAGAATTTATTAAATAAATAAATAAAATAGAAGAAAGAATCGAAAAAGGTAGTTGGTCACGTGAAATTTATGTATGTAAAACGTCGTTACAATACAGAATAGTGTTATCCCGTAGTAAGGGGACACTGCAATAGATTTTGTAGGTCGCAGTGGTTGGAACTTACCACCCAATGTAATCTCGTACAAGCGCAAGGTCCGCCAGAGAGGGACGTGCGGTCCCGCTCTCGCGGCGGCGGTTAGAGAGGGACGGTGCGCAGGTGCAGGACCTGCTGGAGTGGTGCCAGGCGGCGACGCGCGAGCACCGCTCGTGCCGCATCACCAACCTCACCACCAGCTTCCGCTCGGGGCTCGCCTTCTGCGCCATCATCCACCGCTTCCGCCCGGACCTCATGTGAGCGACCGCCTTATTCTCATTACTCATAAAACAGATTTAATACGTTATATGGCACACACGTGTGTGTGCGTGCGTGCATGTGTCTGTGTGCATGCTCGTGCGCACCAAATCTATATACATCAATAAAGAAAAGGTTGACTCCGGCCAGTCCACGGCGATGTTCGCTTGTGAGTTGCGTCAGACAAGTAAACGATACAAGTGCCGAGCGCTAATGGTGTGGTGGCGCAGAGACTTCTCGGGGCTGCAGCCGGACGAGGCGGAGCGCAACCTGCGCGTGGCGCTGGAGGCGAGCGCCAAGCTGGGCATCTCGCAGGTGCTCACGGCGGCCGACGTCTGCGCCAGGCCCGCGCCCGACAAGCTGGCGGTGAGTGCGCACCTTCCCCCCATGGATAGCACGCGTGTGCACATGCACATGTGCGACCCCACCCAGCAAGCAAGCCGGCATCGAGGTTGTGGGGTTGCAGGCGACGTTCCACTCGATATATAACGCATGCATGTGCACATGTGCAGGCCACACTCAACAAGGAAACCGGCATCGAGGTCGTGGGGTTGCAGGCGACATTCCTCTCGATATATAACGCATGCATGTGCACATGTGCAGGCCCCACTCAACAAGGAAGGCCGTATCAAGCTCGTGGGTTCGTGGTGACACTCCTCTGCACATATAAAGCATGCATGTGCGCATGTGCGGCAAACTCAACAAAGGAAGACCGGTGATATCACTGCCTTATAGGTTGGGGGACGCATGTATACATGCAAACATTATCATGCATGTGCACATGCTTGCCCCAACCTAACGCGGAGTATCGAGCTCGTGGGATTTGGCTAGTCCAAGTTTTCTGAACTAAACACTCATTTGAGTTTATGTTAAAAAGTGCGTGATTTATACGTAACTCATTTATTTTACGCGCGATCATTCGTAACTAACATGCACACAAGTTCATTTGTGTGCGTGAACAGTAAAATTTATGTATTTATGAATGACTATCGCGTTGTCAACAAGTTCTATTATTTAGGGAATAAAAAGTTTTGTTTATATTTCAATAAACGGTTATACTACCGAGTCTGAACCTCCTGTGTAAATCGGGGTACAAAAAATGGTTGGTTCCAGATCATGACGTACCTGTTCCAACTGAGGGCCCACTTCACGGGCAACGAGCTGCAGGTGGAGCAGCTGGGCAACGACGAGGCGGAGTCCTCGTACCTGGTGGGCAGGCACGACACGGACGGCGGGCTGCCGCGGGACCTCTTCAGCCGCGAGGTCAGCGCCAGGCGCTCCAGGAGGTGGGGCCCGCAGAGGTGGATCACCACCACCATTTCACTGAACGTCACGAAGCACATCTTTCAACACGTTTGCATAGGTGGTTGCCACATCTAGGGGGGGTTGAGTGAGTCGTTCTCCTACTATTTGTTCTTGGAAGGCTCGATCTGAGAAATGGATAGTGAACAATTGACAGAGGGTGTTCTTGGATAAATAACTTGTTTCGGGTGTTGAAATCAGCCGTTTAGATTAGCGCTTAAAGCGTAAAGCATAAGCGAATCCGGAAGACGTGGGTTCGATTCCCGCAGCGGCGAAAAACATACATATTTTAACATACATATTGTTACGTATTAGGGTTCGAAGGATTTGGAGAGAAAGACTGACTCTTTTGAAGACTTTATTCACTAGCGCTAGGTCTAACATAAAGCACTAGGTCCAAACACCAAGCACTAGCGATGTCTTAGGTTGTAGCCAAGTCGTAGGTTTCACTGGTATCGCTCTTGATCACTAGTTTTCACTCCGAAATCGCCTCGAAGGTAGCTCAAACTGAACTGTCATGTCTCGCCTCTCTGCGGCTTTTTATATGGGCCGAGACGAGTCCCAGACCAAGCCAGAAAGTTCCTTCCTGCAACGTACCCGACACGCGCGAACATGGTCGTGATTCTGGAAAGTTCGCGAATGTACCCGGTTTTCGAGACTATAGTTTTGTGTTGTCTTTGATCTTTGAGTGGTTTTACCGGTTGACGCTAGATGGCGCTAGTTTCTTTGTGTGTTCGTAACAATACTTTAATATGTGTAATAGGCACAATGTAATTAATATAAATTGAGCAGCTATTCCCTGGCCACGTCCCATCGTAACCTAATACGAGCGACCTCCTTAGGGCCGCGCCGCCCGAGGGCCTGGGCCGCATGCTGTCCCCGGCGCGCGAGCCCAGCGCGCGCTGGTTCGCCGAGCCGCCCGGGGCCGCAGAGGTCAGTGCCCTGCCCCGCGCCACTGCGGTAGCCGGGGCCCGCTCGCTTGTCACCTTCTCTCATAAAGCCTTCTCCCTCGCACGCGAATATTCCTTCGCAGTAGATCGTAGCTGCGTAACTTTTAAATCTCACACGAATTCCTCAATGATTTATTTTTTGTTATATGTCAATGAGGTACGCACAAATGGGCAGGCCCGTCCGGTGAAATACCATGATCTCAGTAAACCTATGACGCGTAAAGCATGAAGTGATGATATATTCAAATTCTACTATAATCAACCGTTTCATTTTTATATACAAATATTTTTAAATATCTATATATATATAAAAATGAATTCCTATTTCCCTTGGTCACGCCATCACGCGTGAACGGCTAGACCGATTTGTTATTTGAGAGAAGATTCTTATTAAAAGAAAAATTTAATAAATCGCCTGAAAAAGTCTAAAAACAACACTTTTTTATATTCCCGTACAAAAGATTCGTAATAATACTTAAAAGTCAATTCAAACTTTAATACCATACCATGCAGTTTAAGTGTAAGTGGAGGGGTTCCGGGAAGGCAAAACAAGTGAGTGACTGTGGTAAAATGTCGCTTGAAATGTAAACGTCTCTTTGCTGTGCATCACTAAATAGTATAAAACAAAATGATTCAAGAAGAAGGTTCATATGTATAATACATTGCAACCGTGCGAAGGCGGAGAAAGTCGCTAATAATCAAAAAAACGTATGAACTTGCGATTATACCACACTAACGACCCGTCCCGACTTCGCTCGAAAATTTCATCATTCATTTTCAAAATCGCATTAAAAACTTCTAAAATTATCAGTATTTCTCTACTATATTATGCATAAATGCTTCCTCTTGAACCACTCTATCTATTAAGGAAAACCGCATCAAAATCCGTTGCGTAGTTTAAAAGATCTAAGCATACAAGCGGGATGTCTTTATTTTATAATTTTTAAATATCATCAGTAAAACGAATGTACTTGCGATTATACCATATACTAAATAAATAGTACTCGCAGCCGATACCCGCTCGGCCGGAGAAGCTGATGACCAGGAAGGAGCTGACGGATCCCTTCGGCTCAGATGAGGAAGAGGAGACCACTCCACCAGTCCAGACCCACGAGGGGGCCAACCATCTGCAAGAGAACGGTAAGAGGCTTTTAAGGTATCACCACCATTTGTATGAGAATATTTTTTATTTAAATCGTAGTCAGAACATTTGTTGGCATATATAGAAAATGCAATCAAAGAGTTACAAATTACGAGAGTCCTTGTTATGGCTGTTTTTTTTTCTATGCGACAAAGATCTAGTTTTTAAGTAATTCCCGCTACCCATTGGCCTCCACAATACTTGTGGAGTTGTGGAAGCATAAAAAGTAAAAATAAAGTAACAGCCTATAAATGTTTCACTGCTGGGCATAGGCCTCCTCTGTACAGAGGGTATCAGGGCATAGTCTACCGCGGCCCCACTGCGGATTGGCGGACTTCACATATCTTCGAATTTTTTTTTGTTATTATTTCGAAAATATGCAGGTTTCCTCACGATGTTTTCCTTCACCGCAGAGCACGTGATAATTCGGCACTTAAAATTAATTATTTCATTGGTGCCGGATCGGGGATCGAACTCAGGTGGCTCGAGTATATTGAATTAAAGGCGAGCGCCCGGACACTTAGCTATCGTAGCTCACTTCACTTCACATGTATATTTTTTTGTTATTACATATTTCGAAAATATGAGTGTATGGAATTAAAAGCATAAAATATATTTATGTATTAAGTCTTGCAGCGGTCCGTGGCACTCCTCCGGACTACCACATTCGCACATTCGTAAAAAATATCGATATATCGATATTTTAGATTTTGTAAATCGATATTTCCAGCCGATATATTTGGATACGATCTATCAAAATATTCAATATCGAAATCGTATCAAAAAACCGACTTTTTCCAAATAGAATGCGGCACAGAGTCCGTAGGTGTCGAATATTTAGTAGTTTCGAATATTTACGGTGGCAGGGCCACGCAGCAGCCTCGGCTGTTGCACGAATGGGCAGGCCCGTCCGCGTAAGTACACGACCTCACAGAAGACCGGCGTAAAGTGGAAGTTTGACAAATACTTTCGCGTTTCGTCTGGTGAGTGAGGTAGCCGGAGCCCAATTTTCAAAAGGTTGTCAACGCATCTGTAACCCTCGAGTGTAGCAGATGTCCATGGGCGGCGGTATTCACTTAACATCAGGTGAACCGTCTGCTCGTTTGACAACCTTTCGCATAAAAAAAAAAAAAAAAATAGTATTTGACATATCTTTTTTTTTGGACAGCAGGGCCTAAGAGAAAATATCGATATCGATATATATATCATCGGTAAATCGATCGAACTTTTCGATATATCGAGGCCGGTATTGTTATTTTTCATATTTATTACTCTATTTGTTTGAATATGGTATAAAAGACGTTGCCAATCACATTATACAGTTCCATTGCATTCAACCATTTCTTGTATACAAATGCTTAGATATAAATATCGATATATCGACATATTTGTTCACTTCCGTCCATCCCCTTCCAGGGAAGGCGGACTCGAGGCCGACCATGGAGCCCGTGACGAGCGATCCTCTGTCCGCCCTCTGCCCGGAACCGAACCCGAGACCTCCCCCGACCCAGCAAGAGCAGGTGGCGCAGTCCCCGCCGGAACCGGAACTGCCCAAGCCGACGCCGGTGAGTATGTCACTGACATACTGCTCCGTTTAGTGTTGCCCGCCGTACACCATTCTAAAAAGTTAACCGATGAGTTTGTTACCCCCTCGCCCCCCCATCGCTGTGTCACACCACTAGCATTTATCTGGTAGGTTTGTCACTATGTCTAATTCTGTGCCATCATGAAACTTTGCACCGAATGACATAACAATCTATCGTTTATTGAATACCAGTATATCCATTTCGTTTGTTTGATGAATGCTGTGTTTTTTTTAATAAATAGTTGCAATTTTTTTTGTACATTTATTTTCTAAAGAAACTGATTGTTAACTCTAATAATGACCCATATGTTTATCGATTCAGTAGTCGTATTCTTTACAAAATCAATTGAAAATGAAATAGTATGAAATAGTCTATGAGATGCACAAATTAAATACCAAGAATGCGTTAAATATCGTTTTTGCTCGTGTTTTAGCAACTAATAATAACAATTTACTTACAAATCGTTTTTGTTCTCTTTCATCCGCTTTCCATTCCCGCCATCACCGACACCCGCTTTGAAACATGCGTGTGCGTCTAAAACACGACCGCTCCACTGCTACGGTGAACGCCATTGGTCCATTCGATTGGCTGCTTCCTTGTGATTGGTCCGTTGGATTGAACGCTTCGCCACGATTGGTCGGTACGTTGGCCGCTTTGCCCTGTGATTGTTGGACGGCCGCAGCAACTGCTCTCGCGTCATGACGAGCTCAAAGAGCGAGCGAGACAGCTGCTCGAGGCGACCAAACGGGAGGCGAGGGAGAAAGAGAAGAATAGACGCCAGAGCTCGAAGGATTCTGACGAGGGGATGAAAACGGAGGCCGTAAACGGACTTAGGAACGGCGAATTGAGCCCCAGTAAAAAGGTAAAGTGGAACTCTGGTATGTTGCGTTGTTATATTCCGTCACGTTAGCCAAACAAAATTAATTTTGTACTTTTCTGTCAAAATTAAAATTATAGCAACACTTAACTAGCACTTTAGTTTGTTATGAATATCTCTTCATTGAACTGTAGTTAGAACTTCACAGTAAATTACATTGAAATTCAAAGATCGTAATATTTCATTCGTAGTGACAATTAAATATAGAGCTTAATTAAGCAGAAAACAAAAAAAATCATATTTCATACAAATGTTTTTTGGCACCAAAAATCTATTTTATGATCATAATTTCCAGCCAATGACGGAGGAAGAGAGACAGGCGATGCTGCGGGAGCGAGCGAGGAAGTTGATTGCGGACGCTAGAGCTGGATTAGTGAGGTATGGGTTGCGATTATACCTTTAAGAAGTGGAAGTGTTAAACTTCTGCGTTTCGTCTGGTGAGTGAGGTAGCCGAGGACCAGTTTATTAAAAGGTGGCGACCCTATGGAGTTGCAAATGCCAATGGACGTTGGTTTTCACTTAACATCAGGAGTGCCGTCAGACCGTTTGCCACATTTTCACATAAAAAAATAAAATAAAAATTACACCGTAATTTCGCACCATCGAGTGGATGATACTATCGAGAGGTATGGGTGTAACTATACTATTATTTCTTACTAATTGAAAATTTAATTTCGAAGTAGATGACTAATGCCCGGTTCCTATATTCAACGAACGGCCGTTAGTTACATAACTTCGTAACTTTCAAAACGACTTGTAGATTAAAGGAACGTTAGTAAGTCACTTTAACTAACGTTAGTAAGTCGGCTTGTAAGGAAAACGCATGGTTTTAATATAGCGACCGGGCGTACACGCCTTTTATCTACAGGCCGTTATGAAAGTTACAAAGCTATGGCTAACGGCCGTTCGTTGAATATAGGAACCGGGTATAAATGATGATCTAAATGAATATCGCTTCATCCGCAGTCCGACGTCGCCGCTGTCCCCATCCCGCAACAGAGGCACCGTCGAGATCATCAGCAAGCAGTCCGTGATGGAGGAGCTAGCGGCAGGTACCTTACCATTATGTTACCGTTCATTCGATACTTACTGTTTGCCGCGGCTTTGCTACGCTTTCTTAAGAATTTGATGGAACTTTTTTGTGTTTTTTTTTCATTTTATCCGGCTCGAAGGACCACAAGGTTATGTCTATGTATGGAGTGAAAGTAACATGTCTAAAAAATAGTTTATTACTCTAACAGTGTGGGGAAGGCCCATGTTAAGCAGTGGACTCGAACAGGCTGAAATGATGATGATGGTGTTTCTTACAAGCTCCTTGATATCAACTTAAACAATGGTTTAAATACACTAGTATCTGTTTAATTATATTTGTTACATTCATTGGAACTTTAGATGACGGGATGCCTGTTAACTTACTCATGCACATATTTCTGTCCAAATATTTTGAAGGATAACTGTCATATCCATACCTACATAAATCCTAAAACCGCGCCTTTCACCCCTTTAACCTTACAAGTGACAGTGTAACAGTGTTTTGGCAGAGGTTATGACTCGACAATCGTTACAAGTCTTGTTTGCTTTTTAGATATTTAAACAAATAGAGATATCTGTTAGGCGTTGCTTACAGATTTGTGATTTTGTTTGGACATTTTTCACACGAACATTATCAATTATATATCTAGAGAACGTGTGTAAAAATGTGTCCGAAAATATCAAATTTATATTTATTATATTTATAATTTTAATAACGCAGCCGGTGGCGTGGAGCAGTTGGAGGCGATGGTGTCGAGAGCGGACACCCCCCCTAGTCCTGGCTCCAGGAGTTTCGGCAGCGTGGACCGATCTGGTGAGCTTGGAGTTGTGAACATAGTTCAATTAATAAAATATTAATAAAGAAGATGAAAAGGGCTCATCTAGTTGATTCTTGTTTACGTATATAGATATAAAGCATTACGTTTTGCTGCTTCGTGATGTTTAATCAGTATAGTTTTGTCCAGGCCGCTTATCGAGTTTTATTTTTCTTTGAAAGTGAATCCACGAGAACATGGCTTGAATTGATTATTAAAGAAACGCTTATTGAAGGTGGCACTACGAAATGTATCTCGCGTAGTGGATGCAAAGTGCACCCAGGTTAGAAGCAACTATTTATCGAGCTTCGATTACTGTGGGGCCACGCAGCAGTTTTTGCTGTTGAATTAAATAGGTGGGTTCGTCTGGTGAAACATCACTACTTCACAAGAGGTCAACGTGAAGTGGAAGTGTTATACTCCTGCTATTTTATTAAAAGGTGGTAATGCATCTGCCAATCGACGAGTATAGCAAGTGTCCACGGGCGGCGGTTAGTTACTACTTTACATTAGGTTAACCGCCATCTTCTGACATAACGTAAAACATTTGTGTAAAAGAAAAACAAACTCAACTTCAAAATCCCATTCACTATACATAGTTTTTAATAAGAAATATAACTAAAAATTGTTTCCGGCGCGCCATTAATGTTTGTTTGTGAAAAAACATATGAAATCTAATTGATAACGGCTTAATAAAGTAACTAGGAATTATAGGTAAAAGAAGGTCAAAAAGTTATTGTCTCTTGCCATGATAACACAACAAAGTCGGTGCCACTTGAGTGTCGCGAATCGCAATTTCTGAAAAACTCTGTCCTACCGCGTCAAAAGAAGTATAACGTACAGTCGCCGAGGCATCGGCTTCGGCGTCGGGGATCGCGGGTTCGATTCCCACACAGGACATGTGGCCCACAGATAGATGTTCCGCATGTGGGCGTCTGTCCGCGTGAGATTTATGTTTTTAAAGCCGCAGTAGTAACCGCAGAGGAGCGGGCGGGCGAGCGCAGCGTGCGCAGCGCCTCTCCGGGCGCGCGCCGCTCGCCGCTGCACTCCTTCTCCGCGCTCGTCGACCGCCTGGCGCCGGACCGCGACGAGGTGACCACACACGCACACACGCACGCACTCTGACGCGTGCGCACGCGCTGCTCGAACTGGCACGTGAACGCACACAAGCACGCACTGTGACGTGTACGCACGCGCACACGCTCGCACTGGGACACGCGGACGAAAACATGCACACACTAACACACGTGCACGCATCTACACATATACACTGTTATACTTTTGCTGGGGATCTAGTTGACTGTTACTTCCGCATAACACAACATTAGTTTCTTCTCTTTTGTACGTAAACCAAACACTTAAACACTTTCTGTTTCGCTTCTTTGTCTCCGTTTTTCACTGTAAACTGCTCAAGTAATTGTATTGACGATCACATATTTATTCTGTAATGTAAGCTTTTTCAACACTTTCTTCTACGAATTACAAATTACAAATTTACCATACGTACCATTTGATAAATGAATTGTCGAAACCATTTCGGTGCTGCAGCATTCGAACCTACTTTGCCGTTTTACCCAACTGAGCTGATTGGCCGATTCCTTCACTAAAGACAATTTATCTATTTAACGAATATTTATATTTAATATGCTATACTAACTAAAGTAAAAAAATACTACTTAGGGCAAGGTTGACTCAGCGCCGTTGCTAAGCTATTCGCATCGGCGTCGAGAGTCGTGGGTTCGATTCCTCATTTCCTTTACATGGTATCCCGCGTGATACTCATCAGTATTTGTGTGACCCGCCGAATTGTTCCGGATCCGAGTGTTTGTTTCCCGAGGCTGGCCGTAGAGAACGTAGCCAAAAGCTGGGTCCTACTTAAGTGGGACAAGGGCAGGAGAGTGATGACGGTGATTGCCAGGGCAAGGAGAGCGGGTCGTACATCGCGAGCGAGCTGGAGGCGCTGGAGAGGGAGCAGAGCGCGGTGGACGAGAGGGCGGCCGCGCTCGAGAAGCAGCTGCGCCGCGTCATGGAGTCGGCGGACAACACGGAGGTCGGCTCTCTCTGTCTCTCTCTCTTTCTCTCTCCTCTCCTCTCTCGCCCTCAATTCTCCTACGTCTCCTTGGCCATTCCGTCATCGTGTTCAACTCAAACTCATAAACAGACAGCCCGTCTCAGGGCCGAAGTGTAAATAGTACTGAAATTAGTTTACTTATCAAATGGAGTGTTATTAATAGACTGAAGTCTTAGAGTAATACAGATAACTTGTACGGTCGCTATGAATTTATAAGATTCATACGTATGATGGTGTTTCGTTCGTCGCGTAAAATGAAATGAGATATTTTTATACAGGGCGGCTTTTCTAAGGGTGCCCAAATTCACACAGGAGGTACAGACTCGGTAGTATAATCGTTTATTGAAATAAAAACAAACTTTTTTTTTTTTTTCAAAAAATTGCCATTCCATTCCCTAAAAAACAGAACTTGTTGACAATGCGGTAGTCATTCATAAATGCGTCGTTTACTTTTGAAATGAACTTGTGTGCGTATTACTTATGAATGATCGCGCGTAGAATAAATGAGTTGCCCATAAATCACGCACTTTTTGAGATAAGTTCAAATGAATGTATTTAATTAATTACGAGTGATTTTAAATATTTATCATTTTTTATATAACATTAGTTATGTCTAGAATTTTATTAAAAAATGGATACACTTAGAAAAGCCTCCTTATATAACAGACGCCTATGATCAGATAGCCTTTATAAGAACTCAATCAGATATCCATGTCGCGACTGTGTCGTTTCAAAATAGGTTGGATAAAAACAAGCAAGAGTGATAAGTGGTTAAAAGCTTTGATGAAATATACCTGATCATTCTACTCTTCACTTCTCCGTTCTTCTTTTTCTGCACAGGTTAAGAAGTGGAAGAGAATATTCCTGTCCTGCACTAGAATACCACACAATCCGGTACCGCATCCCTGGTTATCCTTTAGATATCTCCTTCTCCAACATTTTGTATACAGTTGGCGTTACGCAATTAAAATAGTTAAACAAATGTTACGTTAAAATAAAGTTTAACAGAAAATATTGATTTTTCTTGGATATAAATCGACACATGGCTTTAATTTAATTTGAATTAATTTAAAAAATCTTAGCTCTACTGTAGGCCTAGTATCCTACAGCTACGAAAATATGTAGAAAAAGTACGAAAAGATTGTCGCCGCTGTGGCCATCGAACCCATGTTTTCGGCATTCGCGTCCTGATGCTTTAGCCACTAAGCTAAACGGCTGATTAACGTCGCTTAAGGTTACTTTGGTTAACTTGTCTGTAGTTGCATAATTGCTCACATAATATAGTGGAAGTAGGTTGTCTATAACGGTATTGATTGTGCAGGAAGAGGACAGGCTGATGTCGCAATGGTTCCACCTGGTGAACAAGAAGAACGCGCTGCTCCGTCGCCAGATGCAGCTTAACATACTGTGAGTGAAAAAAGTAAAGTAACATGCTATATATGTCATTAGCCCTTTGTACCGAGGTTTTTAGGCATAGTACAATACGCGATCCCACTGCGGACTGGCGGACTTCACGTATTTTCGAAATATATATTTTGTTATTACTTCGAAAGTATCCGTAAGTTGCAAACGAGCTGGTGGTTCACCTGATAACAGTGTTGTTGAGGCACCTTCCAATAAAGTGGACCAGTCACCAGAGGAAACGCAGAATTATGACGGGGCGGCGCGAGCTGACAGAGGAGCCGTTGCAGGGAGCAGGAGGAGGACCTGAGCCGGCGCTGCGAGCTGCTGGCGCGCGAGCTGCGCCTCTCGCTGGCGGTGGACGAGTGGCGCAAGACGCCCGGCCAGAAGCGCAGGGAGCGGCTGCTGCTGCAGGTCCACACCTCCACTCCACTCCACTCCACTCCACTCCACTCCACTCCACTCCACTCCACTCTGCCTCATTATATTATAATCTGCTTCAATTTACGATTTATACTACACTATACTATAATCTAATACACTCTATCTACTTCGCTCTACTATACCTTATTGTGCTCTATTATATACAGGGAAGCTTTTCTAAGTGTATCCATTTTTTTTAATTAAATTCTAGACATAAATAATAAAAAATAAATAAAAAATGATAAATATTTGAAATCACTCTTAAGTAATTAATTACATTCATTTGAACTTATCTCAAAAATGCGTGATTTATACGCAACTCATTTATTTTACGCGCGATCATTCACAACTAACACGCACACAAGTTCGTTTGTGTGCGTGAACAGTAAAATTTAGGTATTTATGAATGACTACCGCGTTGTCAACAAGTTCTATTTTTTAAATATTAAATTTTTTTAATAGAATGGTAATTTTTTTGAAAAAAAATTTTGTTTTTATTTCAATTAACGATTATACCGAGTCTGAACCTCCTATGTAAATTTGGGCACCTTTAGATAGGCCTCCCTGTATTTAAACTCAGTTCGTACTGGTTACGAAAATCTTATCCACGCAAATTTACTTGTTCATTATAGAAATACGAGTGTATCATTGCAATTCTTTAGAGAACAGTAAAAAAATCTATTCATGTTCAAATTAAATCCAGCGTGGATCGCTTCATAACATGAAATGAAACGTCGGAAAACCTTATGTCCACAAATCCGGTTAACAACAAAGCTCAATGAGAACAAAATAAGCGTTATGTCCTGTTATCTTTATGCAGCATGGCGTTACAACCGCGACCATAAATGAACACACTTCTAACGCTACTTGCTAATATTAAAAAAAAAATGTTTAAAAAATTAAGAAACAAAATTTGTAACATCCTATACAACAACTGACTGATTCACACATTCAGAGACTTTTTCATTCGTTGCCACAACGTCGCATTACAAGTCTCTCTTTCTAAGAATATGTTTTATCTCTTTTAAATTCATTCAATCAATTCGTATGTTATGTGACATTCACACTTATAGTTTTATACCTAACGTACGGTGTTCTGAAATTATTTCTTTGGGAAAATTTATTACCTCGAAAATAAAATAATATAAAATATTGATGTTTAAAAAAAGTAAATTGTTTAATACAATTTTAAAAAGTTACCCTTTATGTTGACTTATGGTCGCGTTAGTCGTATAAAAATGGGTCAGCGTTGTATAAAAAAATTATCTTCCTTTTGTTTGTGAACACACTATGAACCTAGCCGATGGATTGAACAGTAGAGATTTGTTAATGTATTTTTTATTCCGACGAAAACGAAAAAAATGTTACTCTAGCGATACGTTTCAGTTGGTGGTAACAATAATTGTATCTCTTGATAATATTCTGTGCAATAGATGCGGTATCGTCCCTTTTTCCAATTTCAGGAGTTGCTCTCGGCCGTCAACGAGAGGGACAGGCTCGTCCAGGAGATGGACGAGCAGGAGAAAGCGTAAGTGTCACGGAAAATCTTCGAAATTATTACTATTATGGTAAGCGAAGCGTGCCCTAGAAGGCGGTTCCCAATCTGGTTCGCGAACATAGTGGGTATGATGCGAGCGGATTTCTTCCTCATCGTGGCGCAGTTACTAAGATATAATAGCTTAGCTATTGGTTTTGGCCCTGGAAATCGTGGGTTCGATACCCACAGCCATGACCACTTAAGTTCGCACAACATGATTGACATGTTGTACCGACCCCATCTAGATGTTGTGTGTAAGAACCCATTGTGTCACTTTTTGTATTTGTGAAAATTTGTGCATTCGTGCAAGTTTGTGCATTAGTGCAAGTTTGTGCATTTGTGCAAGTTTGCACCAGTCGAAATGTTTCAAAACTTCCCACCACCAACAGGATAGCGGAAGACGACGAGATCGAGAGGAACCTGTCCAACGTCGAGATACAAAGGAAGAACAACTGTATACTGCAGTGAATAGGGTGCAAATTCGAACGCCAAATGAGTTTCGGCCTAAACGCGTTTCCCCACTAAATTCTGCACGACTCGTCTCTTCAAAAGTGTTGTTTAAAATCCGTTATCTTAAAATGTGCATACAAATTGTTGACAATTTTTCGCCGCTGCGTTTCGACCGGTTAGCTTAGCGACTAGAGGTATGGGTGTTACTCGGACGGCGCAGATTGTAATCCCGGCAGTGGGGCAAAGTTACGACAATTTAGTTACACATCTTAAGTGCAAAAGTAAAAATGAAATCCATAATTTGTTCCCATTCTGCGCAGACCGGAAAGGAATGTGGCTGTATGTAATTTATTTAACGGAAACGCGTTTTCCATTAATTTATTTTTAGTTTACGTCGCGCGTCGATAGAGGGCGGTCCGGACGGAAAATACTCAGTGGTTTCCTATATACGTTATAGATAAATGTATTATTTTTCGATTAGCAAGTACGCTACTGTATGTAATCTAGTGTGTATGGAGTTGTATGGAGGGGCTGCGACTGCGAATTTGTATGGGATGTAGTAAAAAAAGACCTTTTCACTTTTCAGCCAGTATCGCATTGCATTACAATAGTATGACCATTTTTTTGTTTTCGTTAGTGTTTCGTCTCACGCCCATTGTATTCAGTAGACAGGGAGAGAAATATAGTTTTCAATATTCACATTAGGGTGAAAATGGTATTATATAAAAAAATACTTATATGAGCTGTACTTGCTCACACAAATACATTTCAAATGGAGTCATTGCATTAAACGCAAAAAATATGGTGCGTCGGGAATTTTCATTTAACGCGGTAATACATTATATTATAACGATTTCACTTGATGGCGTTTGATGTTTCCTAGGCCATAAAGGTGTTGACACACTGCGGTCGCAGCCCTCTCGGTTTAAAGTAAGGTTTACCAAAGAGTCCCTTTTAATCGCGACCCTCGTATCGTAATTGCAACTTGACCGGACTACGGTGATGAATAAGTACAATTTGCCATAGATTATATATATATATATATATATCTTTTTTCTATTCTGGTCGCGTTACATTTTTTTAATTTGACGCCACGCAAGCGAAATTCGTTACGCTGATGTAAATAAACATTTCGGGTGTAGTTTTTAGTTAATATTTTTCTATTTACAAAATGTGGCTATGTTATTTAATTTTAAACGCCTCTTGCCCGCGGAAATATTAACGATGAAATGTTATTTTTTTACTTATTTTTTTTCTCTCTGTAAATAATGACAATTGACAGTTGATGGCATAATACGTGTCCTGTATTATGACGCTAATTTTAAAAACTGTAAATGCAGAACTGCATTCGCGAATGAAATAAATCAATAGACAACAAAGACATTTATTTATTTTATTATTTTATTGATTTAGTTTTAGATTGCTTTATATTGAGAAATCCACGAAAAACTTTGCGTTATTGCCAATTTTACGAAAAGAAAGTCATAACTTAAACTATTAACATTTCAATATTCTCACCATGATAAATTGTGTAATCTTATCTTTTAATTCGCAGATATTTTATATTTGCTATGTGATTTTCATAATAATGTTTTAAAAATTGTTTATGACGTAATTGAAACATATTGTATAATAATCAGTTTTTTTCTATCTAATACGATTTTGTAATACGAAAAAAATAATCAAAAATTACTCTCCGTAATTTGTTGCGGTGGAATAGTACATATACCAATTTTTTTAAAATAAAACGCTATACAAATAAAATCATAACTTGTAACGGTGAAAATCCAGGTGCTAACATTACGCGATAAACTGTTGGCAGTGAATAAACTTGTCGCTAGAAACTTGTACATAATATTATTGTAATCTACGCGCTTATTTATAAAACTACTATTCCTCGGATATTTGTAACCTTGTATTGTATTAAAGAAATTTACTCACGATCGAGCACAAAATGATTTCAGAGCGAGAATCCGATCCGATGATGGATGTTTGCGCGGGAAAATTAGTACGTTGTCAATGGTAACGGTCCACAGATTATATCATAACGCTATTTGCAAATTTATAGTCTTAAACCAGTGTTTCAAGACTTTCTGATATGACGATATTATGATATATGACGGTATCAGTATTTTGATATTTTAATGGACGTACATAAGAAAAAAATTGAATTGTCTCGTATACGTATTGGTAGAAAAGGTGTAATATTGTAATGTGGCTAAAAGTCGTCTATTTTCGGCATTGAAGGAGGGGTCTTTAGTGTGTTCATTGCTTGCTGATTTAAGTTTTGTTAGTCCTGCTATTGTTTACAAGGAGGTAAATATGACCATGAAGAGATTCTCCTTCCCTATTGGCCTTTCGCAGCATTGCGGACTGATGTTTCGATCGTAAACTCTTCAACCATAGATAATATGATATAACGTACGAGCTTATGACCAATTCGCAATTACACTTCATCGATATTTTCGTCGTGTATTCTGTCTAGTTTAGTTTTGTAATATAAGCATATTCGGCTATGATTGCCCGTCTGTCATCTTTCGATTCGTAGTTTAAATCTAACATGTTCAATATTTCTGATTCGCAGTATTCAACTGTACTGAATTTTTTAAGTTTGATCTCATTGCCTTTGTAACGTATTCCCTTATCGTGTGAGGTTGTAGTAATCCAAGCATTCGTAATCCCGTAGTGCATCTCAGTGGAGCTGTTAAGAGCGCTCGTCGACGGACAAACCGTTAATGGAAACTGCTCTGTAGACATGATTGATTAAATCCGTTTTCGGTCAACGTCACTGTATCGTGACGTTATTCGCTTAAAGTTTGTAATCTACGTCGCGAAGTTGACGAATAAAAAAAAAGCCCAAACCGCGTGTAAGTTGTTACTAACAGAAATTAATTGATATTTCAACTGAAAAGAACGTTTTTTTAATATTCTCATTGCCTTTGTAACGTATTCCCTTATCGTGTGAGGTTTAATAACGTTCAATTTTCTAGTTTTTGATCTCATTGCCTTTGTAAATTTAATCCCGTAGTGCATTCTCAGTGGAGCTGTTAAGATTAATGGAAATTGCTCTGAAAATGAACGTTTCTATAAAATATTAATTATAACAGTTTATGACAACGGTTCCGTCGCCTATCCTTAACGACCCGCTACTAGTAGCTGCGTTGAGACGCGTGAAGTTAGTCATTGTGTACTCTTCCTATTAATAATTCCTATAAAATATTTAATAACAACTGATCCTCAAAAAAAAGCTTTTTGTGTGAATTGTGTAGTTGCAACATGTAAAAGTTCCGAGCGCGCGAGATACAGGATGTACCAATGGCGAATTGAAGATCATTGGTGTTTGGTTCTGATTTTTTACAACTGAGCAATTGCTTGAAACATTTAGCAATTTCTAACTTACTTTATGTACCGTTTAAGCGTATACTACACATTACTATTATATTAATGCCTATCTCATGGCCGTGGATAATTTTCCGAGAAACTTGGTTGGTATGGAATCAAATTAAACGCTATTTAGTACGGAAAATGGTTTCATTTTAAAACAATAACTGTCCATAATAAATATCAGTGAATAGGAAAGTAGACGCTATTAATACTTCTGTCCGACCTGCCTTTTAAAAGATGTCAGAATTCTGTCAGCTGACAGGGTGGAATTTCTTTTTATTGTACTAACGCCCGGTTTCTGAAACACTGATCAACGTAGATGTCAACTAATCAGCGGTCAAATGAATTTCATTCATTTTAGTTGCCAAAAGGATGTTTAAACTCTTTGAATTGATCATTCTGATCATAAAGAAGATCATTCTGGTCAATAATCTTTTTTCTCATCAAAAATCTTTTTGGTACCTAAATTGTAATTTGAAATCCATTTGACAGATGATTAGTTGACATCTACGATGATCAGTGTTTCAGAATCTGGGCGTATGTATTATTTTTATTTGAGGGTTAGCATTTGCGTTGGCAACCTGTATATAGTGTCATCCGTCTACCTTACTCATTGTGCGAAATGTTAAAATATAAACGTCAATTTTCTTCGTCTTTCCTGGACAAACTGATCTATGTACAAAGAAGCTAAAACTGTAAGAGCTCTGACTTTGTAATTGTTGGTAACACCTGTGGATGATTCTTACCAATATGCTTTATTTATTGTAAATGTCCAAACGAACACTATTAGGTAACCGTACGCAAAAGTTAACGATCATATAACTAAAAACTACAACGAGCGACGTCACTTCGTCGTAGTCAACACGTTTTTTCGTTTTCATATAACGCGTGTCAGACACGCTGCAATTGATTCGGTTTTGACTCTGTATCATCTTGTAGCTCGTGTGTCGGAACTGTTCACCCAGTAGATTTTAGCACTGAGTCACAGTAGTGGAGAGGAAAGCGGCGCGAGTCGGTGCTGCGTCAACCTGCTACTCGTTGTCAATGTAAAGATAACGTAAATGAATAAACGTGAACTTATTGTGAAATACACTCGATTGTTTTATTTTATCTTGTCCCCTTCGATAGAGGTTGCTTATATAATCTGTAATGACTAGTTATTTGTGGCAGTTGTCCGAAAAAATAGTTTATAAAATTTTATGAAATAAAATTACATAATTACACTCCCAAATAGTTACTCGCTTAGATTACGTTGCTGTTACGCCTTTCTGATACTTCGCTCCACTTTTTAATACAATTGATGTTGGCAGATTATAATTTACATATCGTCTATTTATATTATTTTTACTTAATATGGAAAACTGTCTTACATTAAACAGAGTTCAATCAAGGACAATGGCACCTTCTATCTCTCTATCAACTTCAATGTGAAGAAATAATCACAACTAGTGAATCTCCGCTGCTTTATTAATATGGATAAAAATTGAATTTGTTATTTATTGGTTACAAAGCAAGTTTTTTTTTTCTCATTTTTGCCTATTTAGTTAAAATAATATAGTTATAAAAAACTTTTATTTAGAATCAGTGTTTTTAAAACTTATTCAAAGAAATTATTGTGATACTGGAAAAGAAAACACAATTAAAGTATAAGTCTTTATTATCGCCGACAAAGCAACTGTAAATATACCTACTGTATAATAAAACAAAACTGTATTAGATAACTCTTCCTGTAATCATAGACAACAACGTTTGTTGGAAGATCTCGGCGTAAAATCTAATCGTTGTTAAAATTAGTATAAAAGGCAACGTGTAAATTATTCGTGTATTTCTGTACGTGACACTTCACTTTGCTATTCGTATTTGGTACATTTGGCAAACAATCGTAGGGTATAGTATGCCTATGCGACAAATATGACAATTGACAAATACCAAACACCCTCTATAGCTTCTCAGCTAACCAGAATTAGATATGAAAACGAACATAACGTCCATATTTGTCTGTATCTGTGCGTTGGTCCGTACATCAAATATTTTGCCGAATGCAACAAACATCCAAAGGTTAATAAGAATAGCTTTGTAAAGTGCCAGCAATATTCAAAATATTTACAGAAAAAGATGCCATATTAATTTTAATTTATTAAACCCTACGTTTATTGTTATGTACCTACCAGAAAATAAAAATGATTTAAACCGACGTGTCAAGTCATTACATATTAAAAATTAAAATAAATGTTGCTGGCTGTTATGTCCTATTAATCGGTTATACGCAGTATTTGATTAATTTGCATAAATGACTGATAAAAATTCTATTTGGTCATATCAAGTTTTTCTTAACTTTATAAGGACTAAATAAGATATATTATAATTAATTATTGATTTCACGTTGAACTAAAGATAAAATAATTTTCTAAACAATTTTTTTTATCCCATATTGAACTTTTAACAAAATTTATATAACAACCCTTCTTAAGGATAAAACGGTTTTTTTTTAATTTCAGAAGGTCGTTATGAATTTGTCAATATAATTTTCTATAATACAACGTTGCTAAAAGTGTAAAATCTTTTGATAAAGCACTTGGGGCTTAATATTACTATATAATGGCAACACCTTTATTGCTTCCAAATGTACTCTCCAAATTAAAAATGAATACTTGTAATTCTTTTGAAAACGAATGTTCATAAAAGAAAACAATCGTCTACAATATTATGTAATACTCGTACATTATTACACGAATATAATATTTTAAAAATAAATTTCCGTATCTAAATTTATGTACACTTTTAAATTATTTAATGGAGCTTTACGATCGTCAGCAGTGCTTGAGTGTTGCCATGTCTACTTGTTGTAACAATATCATTAAAAAAGGACCGAAAAGGTCGGAAAACTTCGTATGGAAGCTTAAAAAGGCCGCTCTTGGACGTAGCGATTGTCGATACTATTCTGACCAGCAGACATCTAGTAATCGCTTACAAATAACAATTTTTATTCTACACTCTAAGTACCTATATGATCGATTTCATTCGTGGAATTTCATATATTTACATTGCTTAATAAGTTAATAAGTACTTTAAAAATCGTTGGAAAACTTACAGTTTCGCTTCCCTCACTGTGAAATCGGATCGCGTAATATTCAATAGGCGTTCAGGCCTTCACCGCGTTCCTTACTAAAATTACATGTTAAATTCGAGTTATTGATTATTTTTATTCACATTCATACCGATTTTACGACGATTTCTTAACAATCGTCATCTCTTTTTATCATTATCATTATGTCTCCGTCTCAACAGAAATCCATAGACAAACAAAAGTCAAACACGCGCACAGATGCGTAAAAGTTATTTCCGGGTGAGAACCGAACCCACGTTTCAGGGAAAGATAGTTCAATAGCCGAACCATCGGCATTTTGCTGCTTTATCAAGTACATTCACGGGCAAAAGTCTTATGCCTTGCATTTCTCATGTCATGATTTTAGAGGTTATGTTCTCGTGTGATTGTTCGACGTGACCGGTGGCGCCGCCTCTGCCTCTTCTATTGCAGCTTCCGCCTTCAATTTTCGATATTTTCCTGAAAATGGAAAGTATCATGAAGAAGAGAGACAAGTTATATTTTGCAAAGGGAGATAAAATAACTAATCTTGTAATTATAAGGAAAATATCCGGAATTGTCGGACTTACTGAGTGTTAAATTAATTAAAAACATATCAAAATAAAAACTATGTCGGGCTTAAATATTGGTTGTTTACTTTTGCGTATTAATTTATTGTATTAATAGTTTAACGTCATCACGAGGTACACTAATACGATGTTTTGTAACACGATCGAAGGTAAAATTAGCAACAGCCTAATGGCAAGTACTATAAATAATGATTAGCCTTAATTACTTTTTTCATAAAAGGAATGTATCATGATAAAGTTATACAACAAAGCAGGGAAAGAATAATCAAGCAGAAAGAAATGGAAATAGGTAAGGTAGGTAGTAAGCGTAATGCTTCTATATTAAATAAATATGTTTGAATTTGTATATGAAATGAATACGTACGCGATGTCCTGACCATTATGGTGCCCCACCAAATGGACCAGCCCCACCCCACTAGGCAGAACAGCACCGTGAACAGCTGCCCGCAGCCAACCAGAAGGTTGATTACGAACGAACCTAAACCAAAAAAATAAATACAACGCATTTTTTATGTGAGAAGGTGGCAAACGATCTGGCAGTTCACCTGATGTTAAGTGATAACCGCCCCCCGTGGACATTTGCAACACCGGTTGCACCTTTAAATAAAGTGGGCCCCGGCTACCTCACTCACCAGACGAAACGCATAAGTGTAACACTTCTACTTGACGCCGGTCTTCTGTGAGGTCGTGGTACTTGCCCGGACGGACCTGCCCATTCGTGCAACAGCAAATGCTGTTGCGGGGTCCTACCACTGTAAATGAACAATTTAATGAAGTGGGCTGCAGCTAACCTAAAGTGGATTCCGTTACCTCACTCACCAGACTAAGTGCGAAAGTTTAATATTACCACTTCACGGTCGTCTTTGACGCCACGGTGAAAAGCTTACTGAAGTTGTTGGATTTAATTTTAAATACTGATTTACCAGGTTCAGCAGTGGAGGAAACATCATGTGGAAGCCGGTATAGCTAAGAAAATCTTACAAAATATCTTAGAATTTATAAAACGGCCGCCCCATTGGCCTACTAGTGAACTTGCCTCTTGTGCCAGAGTGTGTGATCGATCCCCACTATTGGTATAATAAATAATAAATAAATAAACAAATATTTTTAGGAGCACAGCGTTCTCTAGTCCCAAACTAAGCAATGCTTGTACTATGGGTACTAGAAAACTGATAGACATACTTAAACATACTTTTCTTTTGTAAATAAATACACATTATACATATACAAACACCCAGACACTAGAAAAACACTATGCTCACCACACAATATTTTTTCAGTAGTGGGGATCGAACCCAAACCATCTGGCGCAGAAGGCAGGTACACTACCGACTACGCCATTCGGGTCGTCATATTCATATCATAATATTGTGTGATGAACAAAGTATTTAAAATCCCCGTCAAGTTGAGAAATAATTTCCTCACCTATTCTGTGTTTAGGGCTGTCGTGAATCCCGAACCGTGGTATTCCGAAACAGAGGCAGAATAAGCCGCTGAATATTGTACCTGGAAAATAAGACGGTTTTAAAACAAAGTCAATGACTACAACACTACACATTCTATCGAGTATTGCCACTTTCAGGAGCTTTCCTACTTATTGCTTGCTGTATCTAGCCTCAATGCTCTGTGATAATGAGGAACATTACATTATATAGGAATTTTTAAACTTAGATTCGACGAGATAACGAGATAACATATCGCATCGTGTAGAATAGTTGAAACTTAGAATCGAATACAATGCAATACTTAGAATTAGATATTTTTTTTAATATATTAATTGTTTCAACATTGTTTCAACATTCAACATTCAATTAATATTATGCAGAAAACTTCATTCTTCAAGCTTGCTGAATGTGGTAATTGTAAGCGTTAAATGCTTTAATTAAATGTTATATAATTATCAATGCTGCCGGTTTTTCCCAATTCGATAGAGATACAAATAATAAGAGAAGCTTCAGGCAATTATGGTTCAAATGCGTTTACAATTATAAGTATAACATGTATAAATACTAAGTATTTTTTTTTTGGGAATAGAATCTCTACTCTGAAATATAACTGTAACGTTTACGTTTGATAACCTCACAACATCTAAGGTGGAAAAGGCTCAGTGGATTAATTAGACTATTTTATTAGAGTTAAAATACGAGTTTATTATCTTTTGTCAGTATTTGGTTATATTATTTGTTTCTTAACAAATATCAAGCCCAAACCGAGACGTCATCTATTTTTATAAACGTTAAAAAAACGCCTTCCGCTTTAGTGGTCAATCGCTGTGCCACGACAAAATAATAGTTCCGACCCAAATTACGAAGCCGTGATAGCTCAGTGTCCGGGCGCTCGCCTTTAATTCAATATACTCGAGCAACCTGAGTTCGATCCCCGGTGCCGGCACCAATGAAGTTTTTAACTTTAAGTGCTGTCTTATCACGTGCTCCGCGGTGAAGGAAAACATCGTGAGGAAACCTGCATATTTTCGAAATAATAACAAAAAAATATTTCGAAGATATGTGAAGTCCGCCAATCCGCAGTGGGGCCGCGTGGTGGACTATGCCCTGATACCCTCTATATAGAGGAGGCCTTTGCCCAGCAGTGGGACATGTATAGGCTGTTACTTTACTTTTACTTTACCCAAATTACACATAGATTAAGAGCAGTTTGTGGGTCACACAATTTTTGGGCCCGCGCTGGTATCGAACCCACAACACGGCGGGAAAGCAGTAAGCGTGGCGTACACTTATGTCTTTGTACCTTGTTTGGAAGTGGTTAGGTAGTAAGTCCCTCCACTACAACCTAGAAAGTTCTATTATACTCTTCCTTTAGAAAGCATTAGAAAGCATTGTCCCCTTGCTGTGGGATAGCATTATTCTGTGTTGTAAGGACGTTTTACATACATAAATTTCACCTAGATTCGAAGTAATTAGTGTGGGTCACCTGAATAGTTCTTCCGTGTGGTAATCGAACCCACGAACCTTGCGCCGACGACAATACCTTGGCACCTGCGCCACGAAGACATCTAGCCGACCACTTGCTCGGAAGTAGCGCAAGTAAAACATGCACCAATGTCGGAAACCAATTAAATTATTATGGGGAGCTTAACCGAACGCAATGCAAGAAGAGTTCTTAAAATCGGCTCACAAATGACCGAGGTCCGAGGACCGAACAAACATAAAAAAAATCAACTGAGTTGATAACCACCTCCCATGATTTTCGAGGTATCAAAAATATAAAAGAATTCAACCGAATAGAGAACCATCTTCCATTTCAAGCGGCTTGAAAAACTAGCCCATCAAGAATACCGTAGCATACAGAAGTGTTCAGCGTATCGGCCGTTGAAGCTCCCGTGGTTCGTGGTTGTGAAAGCGGCCACTTCCTACGAGGTTGGGGCTGAACTTACCTAGTCCAGGCACTAGGATGTTGCAGAAGAGGCAGAAGTAGGCGAGCGATAACGGGAGGACTGGTATCGCGCCGCGCATCACGCTGGTGTGCTCCACCAGGGATGGGTCGAGCTTCGTGCGCGTGTCCTGGTAATATTAAAACGATAATACACTGTGGTAGGGCCACGCAACTGTGTTCACTGTTGCACGAATGGGCAGGCCCGTCCGGTTAAGTACCACGACCTCACGGAATACAGGCGTCAAGTGCAAGCGTTATACTTCTGCGTTTAGTCCGGTGAGTGAGGTATCTGGGATCCACTTTTATGCAGCGTGTCGTTACCATCGCGACACTAAATGAACACACGTCTAACGCTACTTGAAAATAATCATAAAAAAAATATTAACGTTACACAAAATCCATAAATAAAAAAAAACATTTTTCAAACAAAGTATTTAAGTAAAAAGAAACAAAATTTGTAACATCCTATACAACTCGCGTCACAGCGTCGTATTACAAGCCTCTCCTTCTAACAGTATGTTTTGTCTCTTTTAAATTCATTCAACCCATTCATATGCTTTGTGACCTTTACAAATGAACTTTACGTTACGCTTTTATAGGTGAGGGTGTTCTAAAATTCTTTGTTTTGGAAAATTTAATAACTCTGTAAATATTGATGTTTAAAGAATTTAAATGTTTAATACAACTTTAAAAAGTTATCCCCTATATGCGTGTTCATTTATTGTCGCGATGGTAACGACACGCTGTATAGGTTGGTAATCCGCAACAAGTCTGCTATTGTAGATGTCCGTGGTCGGCGGTTATCACTTACCATCAGGTGAATCTCTTCAACTTTCACATAAAAAATAGAATCATCATAATCAACACAGCACACAATTACACACACTCGACACTGCGACACATAGGCAAAAGTATGTAATATATCTTTAGTCTACTGCACCAAAAGACCTTCGCTAGCACCATTCAGTGGGAGTAGCTAGCCAGCAGGGTCACTAGAATTGCGCGAGAACCACCACAAACTATTTAATACCTCAACATTCCCATCGAACTCAACTCTACGCTTCGCCGAGCCAGTTGTGACTATAATTTTCATGTGTTGCGGCGAGGGGAAAACCGATCGTTCCACAGACAAATCCGGCATCTGATATAAACTATTTTAACTGTACGGTTATTTGTTGAGGCGTCTCACAATTCGTACATCAGTTTGATGTAACCGTTTCGTTTGTAATGAGCAGCTAAACCGGGTTAAATTAGCTAATGCACTGACAATTCAACTAATCAATATAATGCATGTAATAATTATGTATAGTGATCACCCCGCCATTGTACGAGTGGCCTTGAACGCGTTTTGTTTTGTTAAAAATGGCGTTTCTTTCGTGTCGTGTAAATGTAAGATGACAATCGTCCCTAAGGCAAACTCGCAATCACGCGAACATTGTATGATTTGACGCTCAGTTTTCTTCGAAGTGACTTAGAGAAAATGAAGAATTTTGTTTTTCATATGGCGGACATAACTTCTCATCGTAAAACCGACAATTCTTTCATCAGATTAAAAGTAGAAACATCATATATAACAGATTTTAATAAATAAACAAATTAAGTAATACTTAAGGCTCTCTATATTTAGGAGAGGTTTGAAGTTTCCCGCTTAAAGGTTGTGTTAAGGTCCTTCGCTTAAACTTTGGCAAGCGTTTGCAATACGATTGTTGCCAACACCCTGTCCATAGACGGTGGTATACACTTATCAGACGGTTGACCTGCTCTCTCATGAACAAGCATATTTAAGGCTAGAAGGTGGCACAAGCTTTGTTCAACGACATACATAAGTACGTCTAGAAAGAAACCCGGATTCCAAACGGGGTCTTTTGGTTTGAATACATTCGAATTACACTAATGACGCATGCCTTTCGGTATATAAAGAAAATTATACGCCAGAAGCTTTCGCATTATGTTATGCCGTGTAAGCTAGAATTGGTGTTACCACTATTGAAAAGACTTCACATGATTCACCAAATTATGTATTGGTTCGCTTCAAAAACTTGCCTTTTTTCTTATTTATTATTTTGAATAACCCCCCCCCCCCCCCCCCACGATGTTTTCTACTGTTTGTGTGATAGATTTGCACAAAATTGCAATTAATTGGTGCCAACATTTGAACTTACGTTTCTCGAGAATCTTGTTTAAAAAACATGCGCCTGGGAACTGAGCTATGACGGCTACTACAATGCTTATATAAAATATTATAAATAATTAAGGGCGATAAATGTGAAGAGTGTATTCGAAACTGCGTTTTCTGGTTTCGCGCCCAAACTCTTTACCAGCTAAGCTAAGCGGCCGATGACTTCACGTGCGCGAAAATCTTGACATCTACGTACGTTCGTTCTATTGCATTTTTTACCAATGCTTGCCGAGATCTATTATGCATCCTTACAGCTTACACTTAACAACTAACATTCAACGATTAAAATTTTCGACGTTAAAAGCCGCCAATTTTCTAGTCAAGAACATTTGTATGTTAGCAAGAAGTTCTAAAGCAGAATTTCGATGAACCGCTTGGCGAAATTTCAAAATAGAATTCAGCACCCGGGTCGGGGATTAAAATCCCACCGCGGCAAATATTTGTATGACCTTCGGATAATTGGTTCGAATCTTTGTTTGTTCTTGTTTACTTTTCGTTTCTAAAAGGGCTGTATAACATAGATTTATCTTAATCTACAATTGGAGGAATGTTAAAGTAAAAACTTAAAACTTGAATATATATGTAAGCATCACATCAAAAGAGATTAATTCGAAATATGAGGTATCTTGTTCATATCGATTAATATACGGATAATATCATATCGCCACGAAATCCACGCGGGCAAAGTCGGCGGATATAAGCCAGTCATTTGGGTATAATTTCATAACTCTTAAAAAGAAAACTTTCATGACATTGGTTTAGAATCCGTGCAAAAATCAAATAACAGCATAATTACTACATGGCGCATAAAATAATTGGATGTAATTTCTTCTTTCGATGTGCCGCTAAATCGCGGAAAAATTGCTGCTTAAATCGCTTCTAAACTACCCCCGGGGGACGAACCGTAATTGTGGTATAGTGCGCCATTGTAGTGTTCTCGAGTTTCGAGTATTCGTGATTCAGTGTTTTGAGTGTGCGTGTTTGCGGGGTCGATCGGCGAGTGTTCAGCTGAGGCCGGTCGGCCGTTAACGGCTAATGGTGTGCTGACCCCTTGCGATCGCGGCTTCCGCACGGAATCGGTTTGAGTTCGAGTTATTTGTGATTAGCAGAGTTAAGTACGGCCGGACGATTTGTTTTGTTGGTCTTCGTTTGATTACTTTATACACATGTCCGTCGATATATCTTCATCATCGTCACCCTCCTGTCCTTATCCCACCTAGGTGTCGGAAAAACATGTGAATCATGTTATTTATGACCGGCCGCCAGCCTGATGGCAACCCTCCCTGGGAAACAAAATCCCAGATCCGGAACAATTGTCTGTGGGTCACACAAATAGTTGTCCCGCGTGGTAATCGAACCCACGACCGACGCCGAAGCCAATTTACTTTTTAACCGACTTCAAAAGGAGGTCCTCAATTCGACTGTATTTTTTTCTTTATGTTTGTTACCTCACAATTTTTGACTGAGTTAACCGATTTTGATGATTCTTTTTTTATTTGAAAGCTGGTACTTTCCATGTGGTCCCATATTTCATTGGTATTGGATCTTGGGAACCGGAGAGAGAGAGATAGGAAACTCCTGAAAATCAACTATAAAATGAATACAGAGTGAGATATTTGAAGTCGTTAGTAAAAAAAAATGACTTGTTTATCTGTAAAATAACTAGACCCTACTGCCTGCTTTGTAACTTTCAATCGGAAGGTGCTCATGAAGAAACTTTAGTTGTTGAGTAAAGGTCTTAAGAGTGTTTAGACCTGTTATTAAAATAACCTCCATTTTAGTAAACGGAATAGATGTTGAGATGACACTGTTGTATATATCGAGAATGAAATACGTCGACCGGTTTGAAATAATGAGGAACCGTCGTTTAGTAATGATGCAGATAAACTTTAGAAACATTTGTAGATATCAACAGACTGTTCGAAACCAATAAAATAATCACAGTCGTCCTTTCTACTAAAAAATTTACCATTTGTATATAAGGTAAGTGGTTTTTGTGATGTTCTGAAGCGGCTCGTAATAAGAATTTAACTCTGCGTCGTGGCGTAGAGGCGTCGGTGCGTTCCATAGATTCCGTAGACGTTGAGGATGGGCTGGAATCCTATACAAACATCTATTCCCCCAAACGCAAGGAGCTAATTGAAGGTTTTGCCTGTCTCCAGCCGCTCCTTCTATTCTCAACTCTGTGGTTTGGGATTTGCCTTCTAGTGTTGATAAAACACTTCCACATTCGCCTATCCATAGGACGCCGGAGCCCTTTAGCAGTTATCACCAGTCTGAACATCAACTTGGTGTTTTTCATACTTTGACCTCTGTGTTGCCAAGGTAACAATGGGTAACAAGGCTCACCTCCGGTGGGAGAGTCGGCGACAGGCTTTTGTTCTTGGAGAAGAGGCTGGCGCGGGGGGTGGAGGCCTGCTCTGAGTTTCTTCGGCACGCACCGCGAATCCACTGGCAGAGGCGGTTGTTGCAACATCTGGATGTTAAAGCAGTATTAAGTAGCGCCACACTTCAACAGGACAGGCTTGTAAGGGTAACCATCTCCTTACGGTAGACCACCGTGAGGTGGAAGTGGTATACTTTCACGTTTCTTCTGTTTTAGGCGACCGGGCCTCAATTTTTTGAAGGCTGGCAGTAAGTCTGCAACCCTTTTGGTGCTGTCACGTTCATGGGCGACAGCGATAACTTACCATCAGGTGAACCGCTTGCTCGTTTGCCTAAATTTCTCATAAAAAATAAATTAAAAAAAGATAAAATAAAATAGATTAAAAAGGCTTGGTAAAACTATAACACTGATAGATAACGTAAAGAGGTAACCACTGGGACTGGGCTAAAGAAGCATGAAACGATTTTCCAATGTGGGAGGGTAACAGTCGTATACTTGATTGTCTTAAACAGTTATATCATTTAACAAATTTAATAACAAACATTTAAAAATAAGTAACTCACGGTAGCTGCGAGTATAACCAGATGTTGTAGTTGCATACTCATTCAATAACAAAAATACAAAGAAATACAGGTTCAATGCAATTTGGATAGCGCAGCAATTCATTCCCACGTAAGTTAGATGTAGAAAACCACTATCACTCATAACTTGTACTTCTTCTAACTATTAACACCATTATAGTGTTGCATAGTGCACGGGCGGTTATCATTTAACATAAGGCGAACCATCAGCTCGCTCCACCTTATCGCAACAAAAAAGACGATGTTCGAATGATTTTATAGAGCTTATATTGAATTTTATAGAGTCGATTGCCTTACGAGTTGGAAGTCCTGTCGCTGAGAATGCTGTCCCTCCTCTGGGTGTCCTTGCGCCGTTTGCCGCAGCAGCCCACCTCCTGCACGGCCGGCGACGCCACCCCCACATCCGCTATGCGCCGTGGCAGCCCGGACGAGTCTTTCACCCGCCGACGTCGGCAGCACCCGCACAGGACGTCCCGCAATTTCCGCCGCCGCTTCGTTTCGCTCTCAAACTCAATGGTCGCCACCTATTGATAAATCGTTTCGTCGTTATCATTCGGCCTGTTTGAGTCCACTGCTGAAGTAGGGCAGCCCCAGACTCAATATAAAGTCATTAATATCATTCTACATATATTTTATATATTTATCTTTCCGGCGAAACGGGTTTAGAATTGAAATGGAAGCTAATAGATTCATCGCCCCGGAAGAATCTAATGGAGAATAGGTACTGTTATAGTTAGTTTTAAAGAAGTAGAAGTAGAAGATAATAGAGACACTATTTGTCTGCCTGTCTGTTTTGGGCTCATAGCACGAGGATCTACGAAAAGGAGGTCTATTTATTTGACAAGATATATTTTCTATTTAAAGCACTACATTGCAAAGAAAAAGAAATACTGTACTATATTCACGTTTGAAGTCAGCATTTATCAGCGAGTTCAATTTCGTTTCTGACTATCGCGTTAACACTGTTCTGATAGCATCTTAAGTCGTTTTTTAATGGCAACCTGATTAAAGAAAAAGTGGAATGGCGAAGGTATTTCGCAGGTAAACTGCCAGCGTTGGACGTCAAAATCATTATTATACATTCTGTAATGACGGAAACTGACAACTTCTCAGAAGAGAAAGTGAAATGATGCTTAGGCTCTCTTACAACTACACATGTCGTTCGTCGAGGCGTTCTCAGGGCGAGGCATATGTTCAATAGTGGACAACTTGAGCCTGATGATGTTGATGATAAACAGGACTCAGATCGAGAGGAAATGTACGTCTAACCTCGTTCTACGTAGTTGTGAAAATTTCTGTTACACTGTGCTTCAATTTAACTCAAAATTATTCTTTTTTGTATATTCGGCAAAATTTTTTATCAAAATTTACAGTCATAAGGTCATATCTCGTTACTCACTTTTCCAGCTGCCCTTTCAGCCGTAGCCTTATCCTTCTCCATTTCTTTCTTTTTGAAACAGTTCAGTTTTGTCAACAGTCCCTTTTTTGCTTCTTTGTCTGGCTCCTTCCTTTCTTCTTTAGGTTCTTCTTTCGTCTCTTCTTTCGCTGTCGTTTCATCTTCTTTTGGCTTCGCGCAGCACGAGCAACATTTCGATTTGCACTTCCCCATAATCCTCGCGCAGATGTTTGGTTTCTTCTCACCGGGTGGACTCTCCTTGGTCTCTTCTGACTGGGCAGCTTGCATTTCGAGCTTGGCCTGGCGCTGTGCCCTCGGTGGCGGTTTGGGGGTGGTGCTGGTGCTTTGAGGGAAACTGAAATGATACACGCCAAGTTGCTGTTTTATTTCATCTGGTTTAATAATGAGTACAGCAATGATTGTCCCAATTGTTTTTTTTTATTTAAATAGGTGGCAAGCGAGAAGGCGGTTCACCTGATGCTAAGTGATAAACACCGCCCATAGGGTTGAAAATACGATGCCATCTTTTAATAAAGTGCGCCCCAGCTACCTCACTGACCAGACGAATGGCAAAAGTATAACACTTCCACTTCACGCTGGTCTTCTGTGAGGTCGTGGTACTTACCTGAACGGACCTGCCCACTCGTGCAAGAGCGGAAACTGTTGCGTGACCCTACTCATTGAGATCAAATCAAATCAATATCAGTTATTTCTCCGAACGCGTCTCTACCAGATTTTCGTCTCACAAAACCTTGTTCTTATTATGACAATTTTTTCATAAAATTTATACATAAAACGTGATTCTTAATTTTGTAACAAAGGTTTTACCTTAAAAGTGAAGATTGGCCTGGGTATCTAAAAATTAAAAATTAAGAATTATAAAGAAGATATTGATAATCGAATTAACCGTGTTCAATATTTTTGTTATGCATGAATATTCTAATAACAATTACTAAGTTGGATGTATTCTAACTTAATAATTAACGAACAAACAGAGAACTATTGCACTCTTATGTTACCAGATTATATCTGCTAAGATTATTTTAATTAATATACACATAAGGAAAATCTTTTATACCTGCCACTGCTTCTTAAGCTTTGTACAAAAGTTCAAATAAAAGTTTTTGTGAAAAGTTGTTTTTTATTGGGAAAATTATTAAGGAACTTATAAAAAATTAGCATGTTTTAAATTAACACTTTTTTTGTCTCTTTTCATTAAAAATAATGCAAATTGTATATCTCAATTGTGTCTAATGCATTTATAAAACTATTCAAATTCCTAAAAGCTCAGATGAAGTTTTTTAAATATACAATACAGTAGAAGTTACCCGTTTGTATTTCCGTAACGCTTTGGTAATAATTCGTTGGGCAGTATATAGACTGTTCTGTTGTGCAACATTTTCGTTAAGAAGAACACTTAAATCGTCCGCACCAAATAAATATTAATAAACACAATTGTTTAAGAACGTTACTTTTATCACAGATAAAAAATTTTAGCTACTAGATTTGACGTTTCATTTTCGCGCCATGACCGCCTCGTCGTAATGGCGGACGCGTGTCTTAAACGGCGCGCGAGGTTCGACTGCAGTCTTGGCGTGAACTAATTTCTTAAGGGTTGAATTCTTAAGGGCTGTTTAGAGTGTAAAAAATACAACTTTTCCTTTTCATTGTTCTGCGTACTTCGATTACGCTGTTTAAAGTTCTATTATCTTTCGTTATAATATCGACTTAGCTGAATATTTTTTTTACAGACTAGCCGGAAAGAATAGAAGGCAAAGGTTCGAAAGAGTCAATGCACATAATTTATATATACAATATAAATGATCCAGTTAAATCTGTTATTTCTATTGCGTACCTGAAATAGACAGTCACTTAACGTTATCAGATTCTAGGGAGTTTATGGAGTTTTAACTGTATGTTTCTCACTGATTTCTTATTTCCCGAACACAAACCGAACGATTTAAATATATTTAGTATTAAAAAAGGTCAATATTCTTATTTTTTTAACGTGAATTATCAGTTATCAGTTTTTCGTTCTCAAGCTTTCAGCTCTGTAACCGAGGTTCTACTGAAGAAATCGTAGTGTTATTTACTTTAATATAGCGTTTCTTTTACTGTAGTGTGTTATAATATAATTAATACCGGCCTAATACCTCGGCGTCATTGAATAGCTTTGCAGTGAGTTAGCTTTTTGAATGAATGCTGTGAATTCTCGATAAAGTGTTACAGCGCGGTACACTAATGGAGTAATTGATTACTTTCTCAGTTCAAGACATATATTGCATAACGAAGACACAACCATTGGCGCTTGTAAAATAGTTCGATATAAAAAATAAATGCGCATACTCTTTGACTGATCATACAGTAACAAAATTAAGACATTAAATAAGTTTAATTATGAAATTTGGCAGAAGAAATATGAAGAAAGTTTGCTTATCTAAAAATACAATATAGAAATGGTTCTTGACGCATAATACTTAGTTCAGTGAAGGAATCTTTTCTAAAATATATTTAAAAAGAAACACTCAAAATAGATTGAGGGCAATTTGCATTCCTAGTCTAGTTCTAGCCCTCTATTGCAGTCCTACGTTAGTGTTTAATCATAATGATGTTACTCGATTTGAACCGTTATATAAAAAGTACATACAATTGCCTATACTGTTTTATTTTACTAATTAACAGGCTGAAATTATGATAATTATAATGATGGCAAATGAAACAAATTATTACAATTGTAACAATTGATACGCTCTAGTGGTACTACTCAATTGTCTTTAAATGGATTGATCGCTCCAGGCTCTTTCGATCTGACTTTTTATATTGTATTTAATATATTCTTGTCACACAATGTAAAACATGTTCACACTGTCAAAAGTGGTAAAAAAATGACAGAGTTTCTTTCGCCGGTTCTTCTCAGGTCAGTCGCTATTGTTTTCCGAACCGGTAGTAGTATTTTGACTATCAATAAGTGAGTGTAATGCTCCTATGTTGAATAAAGATATTTTAATTTGAATTTAATCATATAAATCAATATATATAAATACTAGCTGCTGCCCGCGACTACGTCTGCGTAAAATAGTCTGAAGGCGTAACATTCAGACAGAAAGAGAGATATACATAAAAATATGTATATAAATTATAGCCTATGTGTCATTCTGATATAAGCTATATTATTGTAAAGTTTCATTAAAATCCATTCAGTAGTATTAAAAAAAAACAAATTAAAATTATGCAAAAAAAAAAATTATGTCTGCTATATATGCCAAACTTAAATATTTTTTTATTCCGTGTTTTAGTATTTGTTGTTATAGCCGCAACAGAAATACATCATCTGTGAAAATTTCAATTGTCTAACTATCACGGTTCATGAGATACAGCCTGGTGACAGACAGACAGACAGACTGACAGACAGACAGCGGGTTCTTAGTAATAAGGTCCCATTTTACCCTTTTGGTACGGAACCCTAAAAAGGGCACAGTGAAGCGTGGCCGAGTTCAACTAGTAAGCATATAAAATTGCCAACTGCTATTATTGACATATTTTTAGTTACGTACGTTATGACAATGATGTCATTATTTTGCCTTCGGTTAACAGTTTAACAGACATCAAGTGGATCGTACAAAGACTTTGCTTTTACCGATTTAGGATTCTTTAAAAATGGGTCATCCGAACTATCCTTAAGTATACTAATTTTGCCGCCATGTGAATAATGGTTCGCGCAGTTTATCGCGTCGAGTGTACGCAACGGAAATTGAAAGTGCTTCCGTTACGTGTAATTCCGAGTAAATTGTGTCGAGACAAGCTTGTCGCTTAAAGCGAGCAGCAAACACACACTGTTATACGTTAAGAATATGTAGTAAATATAACAATATTTGCCTTATTTACTTCTTCGATGTTCGTACCGACCAATAGAAACTTTAATACTCGGCTCTGTAACAACAACAGGGCGAGGGGAAACTGAAAATCAGCGCTACTTAGTCAGCCTTATGCTGTCTGTTGTAGCATAAGCTGAGTTTCCTTTTGCCAAGGATCTTTTCTTTTTTTATCCCTAAGTAATTCTGATATTTTTGTAAAGCTTTTGTTTTTTATACAATGGTGTAAATATTGTTTTTAAATTCTCTTTTTTGTTTTCATGTTTGTTTAGCACTTAAATTTATTGTACATTCAATTTTTTCTTGGCAACAAACAATTATTAATTGAAACTGAATAGATAGATTGTTTAATTTAAGTTAAATTAAAGAAATACGTTTAACATTTACGTTATTTTTTTAATCACTCGTTTGTTTTGTTTTCGTCAAGTCGTATAAATATTGTAATTTGTCTGTGTATTAAACACAGGGCAGAGACTTGTTTATTCGGTAGAAAGGAATCCCTTTTTTTTAGAGTTCCGTACCCAAAGGGTAAAACGCGACCCTATTACTAAGACTGCGCTGTCTGTCTGTCTGTCCGTCTGTTGACGGGCTGTATCTCATAAACCTTGGTAGTTAGACAGTTGAAATTTTCAGATGATGTATTTCTTCTTCTTTTCTATTATAACAAAAAATACGAAAAAACAGAATAAAAAACTATTTAACTGGGGCTCCTATACAACAGACATGGTTTTTTGCCTTTTTTAGATAATGGTACGGAACCCCTAGTGCGCGAGTACGTCTCGCACTTGGCCTTAGGCATTAAATAGATGTTAGATTGTTATGTGATCATACTTTAATGTCATAATTATGTTTTAGTTTTAAATATTTTACATCACAACAATTTTAGCAAATCTGCAAGGGCAGAACGAAAACAGAAAATATATATTTTTATATTCGTTGTGAAATAACTCATACACGCGAAACTTGATATTTATTTACTTATTAATTAAGGTTATAATGAGAACTAGTCCCCTCAATTTCTTCTTTCAGTAAACAATATTCCAGCTAATATAATATAAATTATGGTTGTCAAAAAAAGAGCAACGTAAATATATGACAATAATTTAAACTGTTGTGCCAACCCTAACGCCGTTCCCGTATGCTAATACCGTCTTTGGTCACGCCACAGACGGCGTCCGTTCGATACATACCAAAACGGGCACCGCTTGACCGCTGAGTGATTTATAAATGACAAGTTTAGTATTGATTAATTGTTGAGCTAAGTAGAATTAGTTTGATGATTCTGTGATGCATTTACCAAGGTATTCGTGTGCCGGTGGCCGATTCGCACACGAGGCAACTACTTGTGTGACCAGCAGATAACTGTTTCTGTTAACTGGATCTGGGTGCATTGTTTCAAAGGGGAGACCAAATTATTTGGAGATGCACAGAAAATGGCATGTATAACCAATATTAATATTTATCTGCAGCACAATCAATCCTTACTAATATTATAAACGCGAAAGTTTGTACGTATGGATGGATGTTTGTTACTCTTTCACGCAAATACTACTAAATAAATTTTAATGAAACTTTACAATAATATAGCTTATACATCATAATAAAACATAGGCTTATATACCTAGTTTTATGCATATCTGTCTTTCAGTCTGAATATTACCCCTTCGGCCTATTCTACGCAGCTATTATACTAGCAACAGATTACGAAAAATATAATAATAACAATGGTAAGGCCACGTAATTGCTGGTCAGGCAGGTCCGTTAATCCGATTATCGCGACCTCACATAAGACAGGCGTGAAGTGAAAGTGTTATGCTTCTGCATTTCGTCTGATGAGTGCGGTAGCTGGGCCCCACTTTATTATAAGGGGGCCTCTGCAACCCTACTGGTGTTGGAAATGTCCATGGGCGGTGGTTATCACTTAACATCACGTGAGCCACCTTCTCACATAAAACAAGCCATTATTGCAAAATATACCTGTAAGTTTGGAATAGACAACCAACATAATTATTATAACTAATGTTTTATTTCATATTGACTTACCCGCCGTTGCTAGTCGATTTGTCAGACACGCTGCCATCAGCCGCCTTTGTGTTTATTGTGATCTTCTCAAGACCCGGTGTGGAAACATTCGAGCTTTGCACTTCAACCTCTGGTTCACCTTTAACTAAAGTTTCATTCACTTTGATTACTTCAGACTTTTTTAGTATATTTTTGCCTTTTTCGTTTACTACCATAACAATTGGCTCTAGATTTTCTTTTAGTTCTTGCTTATCCGCAATCTCTTTGGGTTCTTCTACTGGAGTAATTATGCTGTCAACAATCTTTGTAGCCTCGGTGCGTATTTCAGTCGTTATTTTTTCAGTTTCCTTTTCAACTTCATCGTTTACCTGATCTAATTTTGTTTCCACTTCCTTTTTGGCTTCGTGGATGTCTGATTTTGTTTTATGAGCTACGCTTTTAAAAGTATCTTTCGTATCGGAAACTTTATCCTCAATTTTTTTCGTTGAGGCAAGAATGTACTCTGTCGAAATTTCAGGTTCTTTTAGTATAGAGTCAATTTTTTGCTTAACCCTTTCTACTTGAGGGTTATTATATGGCGGTTGTAATAGCTTTAGTTTAATGTTATCGTCACCGTATAACGTTTTAATTGGTTTTGGCGGTTTTTTATCGTCATATTTTCCATTCTTTTCTTCCTTTGTCAAATCTTTGGTTACCATAGAATCTTTTTCTGGTAAATTTTGTTTACTTCCTGATGATTCTTTTGCTATTGACTCCTCTTTTTCGTTCTCCTTAGGGGCTAAAGAGTCCTTCGATCCTAATCTCTCAAATATTCCTTTTTCTCTTGCCTTTTCTAGAGCAGCTGGTAATTGGTTAGTAACCGTGGTCACTACTTCTAATGGTTGGGCAGTAATTGCCGCAGTTGTCATGGACACTATATTTTTTTTCGTTAAAATAATCAAGTCACCCTTCTCATTAGTAATTTTATCATACTGAGTCTCATTATCTTGTTTCAATTTTTCATCATCCTCTTTATTTACTTCAGCAGTCGTATTTACTTCATCGCTGACTGCCAGGTCTTCTTTTGTTTTCGCACCTGACTTAGAAGATTTTTCTGTTGGAGATATTATGTCACCAACTTCATTAATCTTACTAGTTGATTTGGCTTTCTCGTTCAACTCATTCTTTTTATCTTTACTTTTTGATAGTGGGGGTTTATCGCTAATATTTTTTGAACTTTCAGTTCTTGTCAAGCTTTTCGTACTATTTGTTCTATTGATCGGTTTCTTTGTTTCATTTTTAGTTGCAATTAAAGTTTTTTGAGTAGTTCTTGTACTTGGTGTCCTAGTTGCAGTTTTGTTTTGCGAATTAACCCTAGACGTAGTCACAACTTTGCTATTAGTTTTTTTCTCAGGACTGGGATCTCTGCTACCAGACCTGCTGTTTTGTCTAGAATTCAATCTAGATGTAGCAGGTGTACCACCAGCAGTTTTTGTAGACTTTCTCGCAGCGGGGGAAGGCCTTGGTGTAGTTTTCGCTGAACTTGATTTAAGGTCTTCAACTGGACTTTTATTGGGAGTTCCGACTATTGGTGAAAGTCGTTTAGAGCTAATGGATCGATTTGAAGGTGGAGGGCCCACCTTACCTGGTGAAATTGGTGGTTTACTATGTATATTGTTTGGAGAAATGTCGAGGAATTGCGCACTTTGACTTATTGCTCTTTTATCATGTACTTGACTTCCAATTCTTATGGTTTCATGAATACTGCTAGTACTATTGGAAATGAAACGCTGATTTTTGTTCAAACTATTGTCGAACGGTCGCCTATAATTTATGAAGTTTCTAGAGTTTCTTGCTGGTGAGACGGAGTTCTGTCGTTTTGGTATTTTGGACGTCTTTGGCGAGGTATCACTTGATTGCGGCTGTGATTTAGAGACGGCACTAATCCGGGATCGATGCACTAAAGGTTTTGATTTGCTTTCTGTAGTGTTTGCTAATTCCTTGGTCTTTTGTGTATTTTCGAATTGCAAAACAGCTGACGGCGAGTTTGATCTTGATCTTAAATTTATTTTGCTTGGAGAAGTACTCCTTGAATTCGACCTTGAATTAATCCTGCTTTTACCCGATGTTTTGTCTAATAACCCCATCTCTTTGAGCAATGCTTCTTCTTCTTCTCGTTTTCTCTTTTCTGCCTCTGCTTCGTGTTTTTCTCTATTTAATTCACTCAATTCTTTAACCTCTTCCATGTTCGCCTTGAGAAAGTTTCTTGGTGAGCGAGGCCTGTTCAGAATAGTAGGTGGTGGTATCGTTGCGACCTGTGCCATCCTGTTCGTATTCGAGATGGAGCTTGTCTGCTTTCTTGAAGGCGAACAAGACCTGGAATTAGCCGCCGAGGTTTTAGGAGTATTATGCCGTGACGTTTCTTCTCGAAAACCGCGTCCTTCGAACAAAAAACATTTGATTTACATATTTTTGTCATTGCTCAATTTACCCCATTCTTTTTTGTCATAATTCAATAATGGTGATATTTACAAATAATAATATTTGTTATTTAAATTTACATTTTACAGAAGTACAAACATGTTCAAAACGCCCAGTTGTTAAACTAACCGGGTTCTGCGCTGATTCTCATGATGGTGGGATAAGAGCAGGACGATGATGATGATTATTTAAATGCAGATTAGTTTTTACAACTACCATGATTGTTTGTATAAATTCAAACACTGAATAATGATCCTTTCCTTCTAATGCCCTTGGGAATATCGTATACTATGTATAATTAAACTGACCACTTTTTTTCTAGCTCAAAACGGGACATTGATTTTCAATGTAAATAAAAATAACTTTTTAATTTTATTTATTCCGAAAAGATTGAAAAAGATACAAAAAAAAATCATCAGTTCACAATTTTTTATTAAAACAACATTGGTATGTTTTTAAATATTTTTATATTTCTCAGAGGAACAAAATTGTTTTAATAAAGAAGGTGACGATTTTAAATAAGAATAAAATTTGGCACGTTTCTTTTAAGTTGACCTTTGTTATCAGCATCGCCTTCAGAACTGGAGCTGTTCAATATCACCAGCACCACTATGGGAAACACTAAACTGTGCGACACTTTTCGCATCTGACCTCCGAAGGAGTGTTAATTTGCTTAATAAATGGGTATTTTATTTGTTGGTTGACATTAAATAAACACTTAAGTTTCGGCATAATTATAGGAAAAATTTCAAAACAACAAAACTTCAAATGATCATGTCTGACGAACGTGGTTTTAAAATTTCGCGCGGTTTCGGAAAAAGGGGACAATTATGCGTCCCAAAGATTTGTTCGGGGACAAAGGGACAGCTGTCGGAAAAAAGGGACAGTCCCGTTCAAAACGGAACGTATGGTCAGTTTATGTATAATAGATGATTCCTACCAACTGTTGATGATATTGAATAGACAAAGGGAATAAAGTAAATTCATTTAATAACATTTATGCCTGTATTTTGATTCACTTACCTTTAAAAGGCGAAACTCTTCCAACACCAGGCCGGAGATCCACTGGCAAGGATCGTGGACTAGTCGGACGTGATATCACTGGTTCCGCAAGAATAGCAAAGGACTTCTCCCGCTTTCTCTTGCTTGTTGGCACCGCACTGCGCAAAAAATGAATACTTAACTATATCGTGTACAGGGGTGGATGTAGGCAGTGCTGGATTTACACTAGAAGCACTAGTGGCTAGTACCCAGGGCGGCAGAACTCTGGAAACATGTACTACAGTATTATGATTTTAAACAGAAATACGAATATTTTAGTCTAGGTACATGTCTATTGATATGATAATAAGAAAATAAATTATGTTCTAAACTTTTATTGAATTCATGTAGGACATTGGTAATGGGTCGGCATTATTGACGATGGTCCAGTGAGGCACTATTCCCACAGCGGCGACAATCTTTTCACACTTTTTCTACATATTTTAAAACTAAGTTTTATTAAAAATCCAATAACACATAGCTCTATGTATACTTAATTGGTACATGTTTTGTTATTAATAGTTTGTTATTAAGTTTTTTTACACAAAATGTGGACTCTGTTTCGGCCTTCGTCAATCCAAGGTTGTCGCTGAGGGCTTGGCCGGTATTAATTCGACGGTCGAAACGTCGCAGCGCTTGGGAAAGAAAACTTGTTACATTGTATTTTATATATTTATTTCAAACAAATCTGCCTTTACTTACAAATATTATACCAAATACAAGTTCTGAATAATTAAATAAACTTGTGAATAATTGTAACATTTCATCGTCAATTTTGACAGCTTATATTTTGAGTTGATTGCAAGTAATATTTGCTTTAATTTATATAAACAACATCGTTTGTTATTCATCCATTGATGTATAATATACATGTCTCACTCCTGGGCAAATGCCTCCTCTATACAGAGGGTATCAGGGCATAGTCCACCACGCGGCCCCACTGCGGATTGGCGGACTTCACATATCTTCGAAATATATATTTTTTTGTTATTATTTCGAAAATATGCAGGTTTCCTCACGATGTTTTCCTTCACCGCCGAGCACGTGATATTAATGATATATAATAATGATGTATAATAACGTAAAAAATATTCTTATTAATTCAGCATATAAGTTTAAATTCTTCTTTTATGCGCTGTTATGTCTGTTTATGTCTTTAAATCTTCAATATAATATCTTCGAGGGCGCCAGCAGGCAGTCACTATTGATGAATTGTCATCTAGCTGGCTCAATGTTGCAAGTGGTGTCCCTCAAGGCGGTATTCTCTCTCCTATTTTATTTTCTGTTTATATTAATTTTATCACTCTCGATCTTCAATGTGCGTATCATCTTTACGCCGATGATCTGCAGCTGTACGCTCAGGCCACCACTGATAGGCTCCCAGAAATAATCGATATTATAAACCAGGACTTAGCCGCTATTAAAAAGTGGTCAGACAGGTTTGGTTTAACCGTCAATCCAGCCAAGTGTCAAGCCACCGTATTTGGGAGCTCCCGTATCATATGTAAAGTGGACCTGAGTAAACTCCCGCATATAACTTTCAACAGTTCTCGCATACCTATCAGTCGTAATGTGAAAAATCTCGGCTTGCACATTGACATGACGCTCAGCTGGAATGCTCAGGTAGGTAGCGTCTGTCAAAAAGTCTCAGGGGTCCTACGGTGTCTATATCGGCTCAAAAATTTCTTACCGGCTAAAACGAAGGAATTGCTCGTGCAGGCCTTAATTTTCCCATTAATCGACTATGGTGACGTGTGCTACTTCGACTTGAATGCAGATCAACTCAATAAACTCGACCGACTTCTGAATAACTGCATTCGATTCGTTTTCAATCTTCGCAAGTACGACCATGTATCTACTTACCGTGCTCAACTTCAGTGGCTACCCATACGTCAATGACGCTCTCTAAGAGCACTGACTACTCTATACTCTTTCCTGAACTCTTCTTCTTTTCCGACTTACTTATCCCATCATTTCCAATATCTATGTGCTGTTAGCAATAAAAACCTTCGCTCCTCGCATAATTGCCTTCTCGTATGTCCTCCTCACCGTTCTGATTTCATGCATTCTTCCTTCTTTATTCAGTCTATCCTTCTGTGGAATGAGCTACCTCTCAAAATCAGGTTGGCTAAAAGTCGCTTTGTATTTAAAAAAAAAAGCACGTGAGCACATCCTCAAAAACTTGTCGGCAGGTCAACTCCATCGTTAATTGTCAGAATTTATTTATGTATATGTATATATGTATTTATAATTGTATGTATACATTTATTTATGTGTGTATATATGATTTTATGTATACATTTAGTAAGACATGTATGTATTAGTATATATGTACATACACCTGGTAGTATTTATTAGATTTGTACTATAATTAACATGTGTATTTACTTTCATTTACAACAGTTTATATTTTAACAGGGTTTTCCTTTTATCTATTTCTTTTGACATCTTTCTGTGCACCTACCGAATCTTCTCTGTACCACCCCAAGGTTGACTGGGAGATAATGCCTGTGGCATTAAGTCCGCCTCTGTACAGCTTGTGCATAAAGTATAAATAAATAAATAAAATAAATACATTAGATCTATTTCAAAAGAAGTTAATTTAGGAGTTTAGTGATTCTTACAAATTTACGGGACTGACGGCCGGTTTCTGAAACACTGATCATCGTAGATGTCAACTAATCAGCTGTCAAATGGCTTTTCAAATTTAATTTTAGATTGGCAAAATGATGATTAAACTCTCAGAATTGACCAGAATGATCTTCTTAATTTACAGAATGATCAATTCAAAGAGTTTAACCATCCTTTTGGCAACTCAAATGACATTTGAAAAGCCATTTGACAGCTGATTAGTTGACATCTACGATGATCAGTGTTTCAGATACCGGCTGTAAGAGAAACTAATAGATGTAGTTAACATTAGTTGCATTACGTCACAGAGATAGTAGACTCTATGCTCTTAAATGGTTTGTTCGACCTGGAGGGCATTAGAGAGTGTTCGGGAAACCAGGTCCTTGTGGTACTAAGGTACTGCCTCCGTGCGAAATTAATACCACCGGAGACCACTCGGCAAATTTTCTACCAATCAGGATAGCTAATCAGGATAGCATGATAACTTTTTTTATTGATAATTATAGTTTATTTTTAATCATGGTTATGATAATGGACAGGTAGAGGATAGTAGATCCATGGTAACTCAATCGAGATCACGCATTAGACATTTGCAACACTGGTTGCAAAGGTTGTGGGCCAAGGCTACCCACCAGACGAAACGCAGAAGTATAACAAACACTTCTTCTTTACGCCAATCTTCTGTGAGTAAGGGCAATGTTTTAAAAAAAAAACACTTTTAGTAGAACACAAACAGTTCATGAAACTAGGTGTTGATCATTACGATACAGTGGCAGCGAAACGTTTCGACTCGCTTTTTCATCGCGTCGATGGAGCCCGCTAACCCACCGGCCGGCGCTAATAAAGCACCAAAGAAATTGGAACGAACGTTTGTTACAAGGATCCGGAGGGGCCTTGAACCAATAAATATGCATACGCTGTAAGAAAACTTAACGATTTAATATTCATCGTATTTTTTACGCGCTCCGCCACAATAGGTCTCTCGGCGGTTTATTATTTCACATAGGTCGACCGACCTCAATGCGCGAGGTAAATGGGTCACAGGGTGTTTTTTAAATAGACTAATCATTGATGACTTATTGTCTACATGAGTTCTGCTACTGGTCGACTCATGCGTCGTGTTTTTGTGTATCAATACATAGTATAAAACAAAGTCATCCCGCTGTCTGTC